CACATCCTGCAAAGAATCCAACAGCTGTGAGTGGTCCACAGTATCGAACGTCTTTGCAAGATCAAGGAATACCCCTATGGCCGGACAGCTGCAGTCCACAGCCTTATATAATTTTGTTGTTAAGTCTAATATTGCATGTTCTGTAGAAATACCTGTGCGAACCAGGCATCCAAGAACCAGAAAATCAGGTAACCATTAGCAATTAGCACCATTTACATTAAGGGGGGCAAAATTACAATAGCTGCAATCTATTGCCCACCAAGATACAAATTATCTCAATGTACTCAAAAAACTAGGTAACAAATTTATAATTGGTGGAGATTTAAACTCCAAAACACCAACTGGGATTCAATATTAACCACAGTCAAAGGAAAAGAATTGCACCGAGCTGCATCAAAACTTGGTTGTACATACCAATCTTTTGAAAAACCCACCTCATCGGCCCACCGATCCAAATAAGATTCCCGACCTTTTGGATTTCTTTATTCTGAGGAAAATTTCACCAAACTATACACAAGTAGAAGAAAACTTTGATATGGATTCATACCATTCTACAGTAATCCTTACTCTAAGTGATAATGTTATTCAAAGAGAAGCAAAACCGAACCTAGCAAATCGGAAAACTAATTGGGAAGGTTTTCAAGAGGACTTAATAAATACTATTCAACTGACCATAACACTAAAAACGAAAAATCAGCTAGATAAAGAACTGCAAAGGTCTATAGTTGAAATTCAGCAAACTGCATGGAGGAACATACCAAAAGTATAAAGATTAACAGCTAGAAAAAACTATCCGGTCGAGATAAGAGAACTAGTAGCAGAAAAAAGAAAACTAAGAAAAAAATGGCAGATGACAAAATCACCAGAAGATAAAAATATATTAAATAGGGCTACCCAAAGACTGAGAAAAGAAATCATTAATCTCAAAGAAGAATCCTTCAACAGGTAGAGCTAACAGATAATAAAGAAACTGATTATTCTCTCTGGAAGGCAACTTTAAATCAGTTTTGATTTTACTCTTTGACCAAATGAACAAAAACAAATAAGAATAAACAATGAAGTTATTCTGCATCACAATTCGGCCAAACATCTAGAGATGAACCTAGATGTAAGACTTAAATGGAAAGAACCCATAAAAAAAGCGTAACGAACTTTATGGAATACCGCTATGGGGATGTGCCAGCAAGAGTAATATCAAAAATAAAGTCCTAAGATGCATTGTTGATGCACCTTGGTTCTATAGAAACGATTATCTTCATAAAGACCTGAGGATGCCAACACTCAAAGAAGAAATAAAAAGGTTTGCTGCGAAACATGAAGATCGACTCCACTCCCACGTCAACGAAGAAGCGTTGTAATTACTTAAGAGAAGGCTCAAAAAGAAGAAGCCATTTGAGCTAGTGCAGTGAACGTTAATGTTGGTGCTAGTGTAAAACAACGTTACGCCAACTTGTTATGATTTCCTATAGAAACAATTAAGACAGCCCAATGGGGACTTCTTAGATAAGTAAGATTTTTAGATTTAAATTGTAGGTTAATCAATAATGACTAGTAACAATAATCTAACAAAAAAAATTATAATTCATTGTCTCTCTCATATAGGGATCATATAAGTACAAAGAACAAGTAGTGACGTGCCCTCTTTGAAGTGAAACCATAAGGAGCAAATATCGATAAAAACATTTTCTTTGAGAAGTCTTCTCTTGGTAAAACCGCTTCCATTGAATCAGTTTTTTTCGAATTCTTTGAAAATTTGTAAATAATAATATTTGTATAACCATATTTTTTTATTCGACTCTGTTCACTAACTTATGATATGTTATCCCTACACCTCCACATTTAAATCGTTTAATAATAACCCACATTGGAAGCACCGATGGATTATTGTTTTAAATAATATATCATATCACAGTTGATTAAAGGAGTCACTACCTACAAGAAGATGGAAAAAAGAATGTAACCTACCAAAAGTTCTAAGCAACTTCCAGAGGGGAATTACTTAAAATTTAACTTTAAATATAAAAAAATACATTATCAATAAAATTTTGTCTACTATTGTTACACAAGTTTTGTTTGTTCCGGTGTCAACCTATTAAAAATTCCGGAAATAGTAGACAAATATAGGGCGTCAACTGGGTCTATATAGTGGCCAAGCTATGTTCCTATTTCCCCACAAACCCAGTAAATGAGGAAAGAAATAAAAGAAAAACCTCAACTTATGTTCCTTTATAAAAAATTTACCAATTATCCCAATTATTATTAAAAATTTTACAAAATTACATTAAAGAAACAAATCTGTTTGCCAAAGGAAAAAAAAAAACTCAAAAGTTAGAGTTCAAGAACTAACTCTAAAAAAGACAATATTTATTTAAATTGTTAAACAACTTTGTAAAAAATGTACCTCATGACTTTTGATGAATTCATAAATAAACTAACGTAGCTAAATATGGTATGAAATTAAAATATTTTATATGTAATATGCATGGACTCAAAATAAAATAAATTCATCAACAGATGACAGGGTTGGTAATTTTCTTGGTACCAGGCGAAGGACGTTTGCGCAAGATGGTATGCAAATATAGTGAATTCTTAATTTCTACCTTTTACAATTATGAAATCAAAAATATAAATAATCATGAGAAGATATTTTAAAATGACTTCATTTTAAAAACATTATCAGTCCTCCTAAATCCTTGAAGGCAGAATTATTCGTGCAAGGCAACATAAAAACAAATTCAAAAAATATAATATAGACGAGATGGCCCGAGAAAAAGGAATTGAAATTCTCAGATTGCCACCTTACCACGCAGTGTTAAATTCAATTGAACTGATCTGGTCACAGTTAAAAGGTTATGTTTTTCGAAACAATAGTAAGTTGTGAAAAATTTCTTTTTGAAATCAGTTTCAGACGTAAATGGAGAAAATTGGAGAAAATACATTAATCCATGTAAAAAAAAAGAAAAATTTTGGAAAGTGGATATAGCAATGGAAAACTCAATAGACTCTATAATAATAAACATAAGAAAAGACAGTGATAATGATAACAGTAGTTACAGTAAAGACAGTGAGTTTTAAAGATAGTTCTTGAACTTTTTTTTTTAATCTTTGATTTCAGGTACTAAAGTGTTAGTTTTAATGCCAAATAAAGTGTAATCCCATTAACAACATATAATCCTCCTTGTTATTTATTTGTTAAATTTAATTCGTTCAATGTTAAAGTGCAACAATTTTGTCAGAAGCATAAGGATTATTTTTATTTTTGTAAATAATATATTTTTTCACTCAAAATTTAATCTTCGAAGTGCGTATATACCATTTTATATACCGTGAAACTTATTTTGTAAAGTACGCCTATGGAATGTGACGTTATATCCCCACTTTTACTGCACTTCTCTTTTATTCAGACTATAGTTGTAAAAACTATTTAACATAATCTTTTAATCTGCTATACTGTTACGTTGTAATCGTCACTCCCTTTTAATAATTACAATATTTAATTAGTTCAAATATTCCAATATATTCTAATACTTTTTGAGCGCCCCTCGTATTTGGAAATATAGATATTATGTTGAAACGGGAATTTGTCTCTCTCTGGGACATTCTACCAATGATGCGCTTTCTCTAAAAATCAATAATTACGGTCAGATGTCGTGCGCACGCCTGGCTTACTTATGGATGGGGAATATTCACGTTTTACACACCTTCGGTCAGCTGTTGGCTTTTGAAATTTCTTTTCAATTTGGCTGCGAAATAGACAGGTTGATTTTAGTGCTTTGTGTGTCCGAATAACTAAGGTAATCTCGAAATTTTTTTTTATAATGAAAAGTAGAAATTAATTTTATTGTGTGCATATTCTGCTGAAATTATCTTTGAGTTATCTCTTTTATTTATAGTGAGCTTTTCGCGTAATATAAATTCCAAAATGTACAAAATGGCTGCCATTAATTTTATACTTTTTCTTCTCAGTTATTTTGAAAGATCTTTCCATTCTTCATGTGTTTTAAATTAAATACTATTGCAACTCTCTAATAATGTTTAATTTAAGAATGTTTAATTTAAATTGTAAGATTTATTGCTGACCACATGTGTTGTTTTTTTTTGAAGCAATGGAAAGATACGGTTTTTTTTGTTGTAACTGACACGTTTTTTCTTTCTTAAAATTAAGGAACTGGCTCTGGATCTGTAACAAACTAAGGATCTGGATCTGTAAAAAACTAAGGAATTGTCCTTTGTAATCTGGAACTGCAGAATCATTGTCAGCTAGTTGCCACTAGAGCTGCGGAATATCTTGGGCTGAGTTGCGTAAGGAACTGCAGTGTTTTGAAGTCATCGTAGGCTTACCGCTCACCTACCATTAAGACACGGACCAGACCAGTTCGACCGTTAAATCCGGAAATATAAGATAAGTGTCGGCCAGGACCATACACACAATTTTGAGTCACTAGTCAATTTTAATTTTAAACTCATCATTAGTAAAACGTAAAATGTGTTAAAATCAATTAATTTAATTTTCTTTTATATTATGTAATCAGTCATCAGTCAAATTCGAAATTTAAATTAAAGCCGATTAATTGTTTTGAAATTTTAGTTTTTTTTAACTGTTTACTTTCAACTGACAAGTTAATGACAAATTTGCTTTTATTGTACATCTAAAGGTATGGCGCCCAAATTAATTTAATTAAATTCTTTTAAGTCTTTTTAATTAAAGACTTTGTCATTGACTTGAAGGTAAATTCTAAACGAATCCCTCTGACCTATTTTGATCTGAGCTAGGCCTGAGGCTTGTACGAATTCTTATTATAAGGATTTTTACAATGAGACCCAGGTAAAGGGTTAGAAATTTAACATGGTGCAAAATATGTTTTAATAATATATCTTTGAAACGTAACATTTTGTTTTTATAAAACGTTTATTAATGAAACGTAACAATACACTTAAACCTATATAAAGAAGTTAATAAATTTAATCCAAATTAAATTGTTTTTTCTATAGTAACTTACTAATAGGTACTGCTATTCCATATCCCTTAGAATCCAAATTGTTTCCTACTTGCATTAAATCACAGTTTCTTTCCATTTCATATTCTATGTTGGAACTCTCCATAATGAAGGCATATTTTCTTTTGCTGGTGATAACTCGTTTAACTCCATCTTTGTTACTTTTCTCGAAAACATTAGGATCCGCCGATTCCATCTGGACCCACATCCGATGGTATGTGGAAAAATTTGTGTCTTTGAAGAATGATGACGTAGCTCCACCTAAAATGTTGAAAAACTTTGTAAAGATAAGCAAACTTTTACCAAAAACAATAAAGGAAAAAGTTTTTTATTCTAGTTTGATTACTTTGTTGTTCTTACACTTGAGGTTTAAGTGGACCTCTGGAAAAATAAACTACAAATTAAAAAATTTACAAAACATTGAGTATATATGACATCTTAGCCTAGTATCTTCCCAAATTTTAATATAAATCCCTCAAGTGATTTTCGAGAAAAGCAAGAAAAACTATCTTTTTTGTATATAAAACTAAATAAATAAAATAAAGGCAAACTCGGCCAACTTAACACCAACCATGGTAGTTACTAGCAATGAAATAAGGAAAAGAACTAATTGAGAAGGTTCTGCTAAATCCATGAAATTTGGACTAAGGATGGTTATCGGTATTCTCGGGTTATATGGCAAACGAAATGGTTTCGCCAAGTAGACTCTTTGAATCTATACCAATTTAAAAAAGTCAACTAAAAAAATTAATAAACAAAACAGTTCGGCTTAAGCAGTAAAGAGATTGGATTGAACAAACATCGTCGATATAGTATTTTTCAATAATTAGCCACCCCCAGTGCTAACACATTTTTATATCATAAAACACAAACGATATTGCCACAACTGTCGACGGATTACTATTGCACAATACGTTACCCGACTTTTCCATGAACATTTAGCCGTACTTGTAATCATCTCAATATTTTGCAACAGACTCCTATACCATACCGAGCATTTCCGATTCACCGGATACCCTAGTAAACTTGTACTATTAGAAGGTAGCAAGCGAATAATCTCGAAAGTCTATAACGGTCCTTTTATTAATCCAATCGTCTAGAAAGTTTGGCTTAGAGTGGCTCTTCTATTTGATTTGGCATGCCCTAAGTATAGTGTCCTCCTTGGACTCTGTACTGCAAGAACAAGACGAGTATCCTTACCGAGCATTTTCGATTCAAAGGACATCTTAGTAAACTTGAATTATTATAAGGACAATGAAATTTCCATTCACATTCTCACTAAATCTGTGGCACTACAGAATCCATAGGCACTAGAGTTGGGACAATACCAAATCAAATAGTAGAGCCAATCCAAACCTTACTTTCTTGGGAAGATTAAAAGGACCGTTATAAACTTTGAAACTATTCCCTTGTTAACTTAACGATAGAAGGGAGAATAATAGATCTTTTTGGTCGCATACATAATGTAAGGTAAAATTGTTAAAGAAATATCTCGAATAATAGTGTCCTGTTGGCTTAATTTACCTGTCATGCTAAGGTATACATTTTAACTAGCTTTATAAATATATTTTATTTACCTGCTACACATCCATATTTGATTTTCGTTTGTGCTGCTAAGTCTTCTGCACTTTCTATAGTAGAACCCATACGCGAACTAGTTAAAAAGGCGGTCATGTTAGCTGTGTAACAAGCTGTCATTATTAGAGCGAAAAACCACCACATAGCAGCAACCAATCTTGTGGAAATTCCCCTAAAAATTTATCAATTTTCACAGTTAAAAACACTCTCATTTTCACTCTTATTCTATATGATAAATCCACTCAATGCCAAAAAAGTAAGACTCTTTGATGCGGTTTTTTAGAGAGAGCTCTTACGGATCAAATCCTATGCCAATATATCGCAACAAAATAATGGCCAGTACGTCAATATAACTAGTCGTGCGAGAAATATTTTGGGTGAACAGAAGTCACTTTTTAAAAAGAACTTTTATTAAAATGAAAATATACAATTACAGTTACTAAATAATGTAATGCGAGCCATTTCATTATTCAGTCATGCTCTAATCGTCCAAGTCCCTCTCTGTCTTATTTGGCCTTAGAGGTTCAACTTGTCCCATTATGATACATAATTAAGCTCCTTAAGACCAAATATATGTGACGACTATAGCCAAGGCGCTTTCGAGTACATTTCAGATTGAATGTGATAATGTTACTAGTGTTGATAAGAATTGGTGAGAACATTCTAGAACCTTTACCAAAATTTTAAATGTGTATATAAATATTGGTGGAGGAACACGGAGCAGTCAGTCATATACAAACCGTTGTGAAGAAAAATAGTGACCAATTTAAAGACATTCGAAATATATATAACTTAAAATAGTATTGTTTTAAAATAAATAAGCGTTCAAATAAATTATTAACAAATAAACTGTTGTTTAAAATAAACAAACGTCACTTTGGTGTCAGAAGTGGGATTTGAAGGAGTGCCTTCACAGATTCAGGAAGGGAAAGAAAGAGTACTAGGTTATTTTAGAAAAGTGTTCTTGAAACCTGAACCAAATTACTGCGTCACAAGAAGAGAACTCCTGGCAGTTGTAAAGTGCGTGGAATACTTCTACCAATACATTTACGGAAGAAAATTTTTAATCTGGACCAATCATGCAGCCCTTAAATGGCTGATGGAATTCAAGAACCCGGAGGGTCAAATCGTCAGATGGATTGAACGACTTCAAGAGTACGAGTTCAAGATTGAACATCGAGCCGGAATAAGTCACAGAAATGCCGATTCTCTTTCTAGAAGACCATGTCCAACAGGGTGCTCCCACTGCAACAAAGCGGAATCCAAAAAAAGTGGACTAATAAGAACAACTATAGTCAACGATAAGTGGGCCCCTGCTAAAATTAGGGAAGAACAAGAGAACGATACCGTTCTAAAGAAGATGCGACAATGGAAAAAGGAAAATCTTCGACCTACTTGGCAAGAAGTATTTAATCTATCTCCAGTACTCAAGTCATATTTATCTCAGTGGGATTCTTTTATACTGAAAGATGGCTTACTAAAGCAAGTACTTGAAAATGATGATGGTTCCGAGAACAGCCGACAGTTGGTCATTCCAAGGAGTAGAGTAGCCGAAGTACTTTTTCAGTTACACGACAGTCCATCAGGAGGACATCTCGGTGTTAAGAAAATCCTTCAGAGAGTTCGGGAAAGGTTTTACTGGAAAAACAGTCCCGATCATGTAAAGGACTGGTGTAAGAAATGTACCACCTGCTATGGGTAATGGACCTCAACGAATAAGGAAGACTGCCATAAAGCAATACAACGTTGGTAGCCCATTTGAGAGGATCGCCCAAGTAGATATTGCTGGACCATTCCCCGTGACCGAGGATGGTAATAAATACATTTTGGTGGTTATGGATTATTTTACAAAGTGGCTGGAAGTCTATGTCATTCCAAATCAAGAGGCCGCAACTGTTGCGGATGTGTTATTAAAAGAGTTTATTTGTCGATTTGGAGTGTCCTTGAAGATTTACCGTGACCATGGCCAAGCCAACTCTTTTGTGGAATCTGTGAATGGTAAAGCGAATGAAATAAACCATTGGGAAATATCTGTCAAAAGTGATTTCAAACCATCAGCGAAATTGGGATCAGTATCTTTCGCTCTTTGCAAAGGCTTATAGATCCGCTGTCAATGAATTAACAGGCCAAACACCAGCAAAGGTCCTGTTTGGGCGTGAGATGAGACTACCGTGCGACCTTGAGTTTGTATGCCGACATGGAGAAGATGTAGCTTACGAATAAGAATGGACGATATGCATGAATTAGTTCGCTCGCATCTTCAAATCGCCAGTGACAGAATGAATAAACGATACGATACCCAAGCCACAGAAGAATGTTTCAAAGAAGGCGACAAAGTTTGGCTCCATAACCCAAAAAGAAAAAAGGGTTATTCTCCGAAGCTTCAAAGGCATTGGGAAGGTCCGTACCTCATTAAGAATAAAATTAATAATGTAATTTATCGTATAAGTAAGATCCTAAACGGAAAACCGAACGTAGTGCATCAAAACAGGCTGGCGCCATTTGAGGGTGATCATGAAGTAGAAGTAATCCAACTTCAAGAAACACCTGACCTTGTCTTTGAAGAACTTATGGGTGCATATGGAGGTACTGGAAAAGCCAGATATGGTGTTACGGCCGAACAACAACAAGATCTGCTCTCGCTTCCAAAAAGACTACTCGCTGGTACATAGTACTTCAGCCGGCATCAATGACGCGCGAGGACTGGCATATGTGTTTCGTAAGAAGTTTGGTCGACAGCTAGAACTTCAATGTCAATTACCAGCTCCTGGAAAAGCCTTGAAACTTCAAGACTAATCGCGCTACCTTTTCTATTTGGTAACAAAGAACACCTTCCACTTATTATGATGTATGGGAAGCATTACTTAGTTTAAGGGAACACATACTGAAGTCCAATGAATAGGAACTAGCCATGCCAAAGATAGAAGGAAATCAGCTAAATTGGATGATCATTAGGAACATGGTGGAAGTAATCTTTCAAGATACCGGAGTCCAAATACTGGTCTGCAGCCATTCGCCCAGAGAATACCCTTGTTACTTCTATGCAAATTGCAATTGTAAAAGAGTGTTCAGTTGCAAATATAACCATTCCGTTTTAGTTTCAAAATTTAATTTTCTCCAATTCACAGTTTTTGCACATTCATCGTTCTTCTCGCCAGCTCCTCAATTGTTAGCACTAATTCTATTTCTAACCAATAAATACCTACAGCTCCTGAATGGATATTTAGCGGATGTCCCGTTCTTAAGTAAGATATTTTTAATTTGATTTAAAATGTAAAATAGATCCGGATCTGTCCATTTCGACCTTCGCGGTAAATAAGGAAGCAAAGGCAGTCAGAAATCATGATATAATAAACTATGACCGCTTGCCAAGCGGCAAGCACATGCCATACCTTGTTGGCACGCGCTTCTCAGAATATCTGCCTTTGAGTTGCCTCTTGCCGACAGATATTCATCTTCACCTGATGTATATCGCATTGGCGTGGATATCAAATAATCAAAAAGTTTAGTTACAGTTAAAGATCTTACTATATTTTAAATCAATGCTAATAAAATGTTTTTAAACCAGATAAGCCAAATAGGATCTTAAAAATAAATGCCAAAAAGTGATACCGAACAGTATTAATAAAGCTATTAATAAGCTATTTTCATGTGGTAAAAAAAAACCGATCTAAGGGTCACATTTTGAAAATAAACACAAAACGATGACTGTCATTCTGGGTCCAGGATATTTTAAAATAAAAGAGTTATTAGATATTCTAAGAAGTTCAGCCTGTGAGGATGTTATTGTGCCATTTTATTTGTTTATTAGATATTGGGTGAATTTTTCACTAGGAAATCTAATTATATCTCCTATCTAAAAGTATTCAATTATTGTTAGTTTTTCAGTCAGTAATCTAACAATCTATTTCATTGAAATATTAGACTATATTTAGTTTTTCATTTATATTGGTGGATTCTACTTAAATAATCAATTAAACTATCGTAACTTTAAGAAGACTGTAACGTCATTTCTAGTTATTTCTATTGTCAACAGAATAAAACGAAAAAACTAAGAGCAAATACCATTTAAACTTATAAAGGTTGGTAACAATTCACAAGTTTGCCGATATGACATAGCGAAAATACTTAATTCATCAATCAACATTCGTTTGCAGGTTAGGTCATTTCGTTTGATTTGTTGTGTATTCAGTTTTCTTTAAAATTCACAAGTAACAGTAATTTTCATTACTAAACAGTTATTTTCATAACTAAATAGTTGTAGCTCTTTTTTCGTGTTATTCCGTTGACAATAGAAATAACTAGAAATTACATCACTGTCTTCTTATCGTAAAAATATCAGACTTATGCTTACATGAAATTAACTAGCTGAGCACGCTTTTAAGAATACTTACTTGGGAAGTAGATCACAACCTTGTGTCATAAATGAACCCATTGTTAACCAACAACAGTTCCTAAAAGTCCATATATTTTCCAATTCCACTGGATAAGGATTACAAGGATGTGGGTTTTCCCAATCATTTGGATTCAACCTAAAATTATACAATTACAATATTATTTAATATCTTGAGTTAAAGAGTATTTATTTTTAGCTTAAGTTAGATTCCCTCTAAAGTTGCGCATTATTTCGTCTTAGACAAAATAAGGACAACCACTTTTATTTTTATACCATATTTTGTTTTTTGTATGTCAACAAGTTGTGTTTACTGTAAAAACTATTATTTGATGTTTTTGTAACCTTCACTTTTTAATTCTTAAGCTACCATTTGGGAACGCTAGACCGAAGCAGATGACAGACGACAGCAGCAAGGCATCAAATAGTGGCGTACTAAAAGTACTGTCTTCGGTCGCGCCTCCCCAAATGTGATTCATATAATTACATGTGTTTAGACGTGAAGATACCGTTTTCGGATATGCTGATTGCTGCCTGTCGCTTAAAGTCGGTCTCGGTCGCGCCTTCCCAAATGGTACCTTAATACTGTCCAGATATTGTGCCAATTATCAAAAATGAATAATCTAACTTACCTTGCTACCAGAAACATTATTAAAGAAATAATGAGGTATGATGTAGCAATGTAGATCCATACTTCAAACGATAGAGGATGGCTAAATGTAAGCAAGTCAGGTGGTTCCTTAACGGCCTTAGCATACAAGATATTTATTCCTAAAATATATACCATATAACTGTTAATTTATGAAAAAACAGTTTAAAAAACTACAGAAGTTAATTTGTAGTTTAGAAAAAGCAAAATTAAGAACCATTTTAAAGTATTTTGAACTATTTTGAAATATTTTAAACAGTTCTGAACTATTTTTAACTATTTTCAACTATTTTCAACTATTTTCAACTATTTTCAACTATTTTCAACTATTTTCAACTATTTTCATTTATTTTCAACTATTTTCAACTATTTTCAACTATTTTCAACTATTTTCAACTATTTTCAACTATTTTCAACTATTTTCAACTATTTTCAACTATTTTCAACTATTTTCAACTATTTTCAACTATTTTCAACTATTTTCAACTATTTTCAAATATTATCAACTATTATCAACTATTTTCAACTATTTTCAACTATTTTCAACTATTTTCAACTATTTTCAACTATTTTCAACTATTTTCAACTATTTTCAACTATTTTCAACTATTTTCAACTATTTTCAACTATTTTCAACTATTTTCAACTATTTTCAACTATTTTCAACTATTTTCAACTATTTTCAACTATTTTCAACTATTTTCAACTATTTTCAACTATTTTCAACTATATTCAACTATTTTCAACTATTATAAACTATTTTCAACTATTTTCAACTATTATAAACTATTTTCAACTATTTTTAACTATTTTCAACTATTTTCAACTATTTTCAACTATTTTCAACTATTTTCAACTATTTTCAACTATTTTCAACTATTTTCAACTATTTTCAACTATTTTCAACTATTTTCAACTATTTTCAACTATTTTCAACTATTTTCAACTATTTTCAACTATTTTCAACTATTTTCAACTATTTTCAACTATTTTCAACTATTTTCAACTATTTTCAACTATTTTCAACTATTTTCAACTATTTTCAACTATTTTCAACTATTTTCAACTATTTTCAACTATTTTCAACTATTTTCAACTATTTTCAACTATTTTCAACTATTTTCAACTATTTTCAACTATTTTCAACTATTTTCAACTATTTTCAACTATTTTCAACTATTTTCAACTACAGTCACCGGCACGAAAAACGGAGCAGTTGAATTTTTTAAACAAACTTAAAATTTTAATGCTTTGTGATGTTTTATTATTATAATATCTTAAACATAAACAAAACAACGTGTTTTAAGCATTTTCTAACAACAATTGAACCTTTATTTGGAGAAAAAAAGCTTATCACTTCAAAGTGCATAGTTGGCTATGAAACCATGACCAACAATGCTGTTGTTTTCATTGTTTTGAGAAATTTGACAGATCGAAACACGTTTTAAAGTTGTGCTGCGTTTATTTCACCTACAAAATTATGGCTGTTAATCCCGAAATAGCGCCTGCTATTGTTGCGTTGCTTCAAGACGGAAGAAGTGAGGGATATGTTGCCCAACAGTATCACATATCCAATAGCACTGTGCACCGTATTTTTACACGTTTTTTGGAAACTGGAGCTTACACCAGACGACTTGGAACTGGTCCCCAACGAAGAACTAGCGCTCATGATGATCGCTTCATCATCTTACAAAGTCTGCGAAATCGTCATGCTACGGCTGTTGAAATCAGAAATCGACTTCATCACGTCCGGCAAACCAACATAAGCGAACGGACAGTTAGACGAAGACTCGGAGAAGCCAATCAGGCCAATCTTACCAGTCGTAGACCTGCAACAGGCCCAGAGCTTCTTAGGCGTCATCGTATTGCGCTATTTCAGTTTGCCAGAAATCATGAGCACTGGGGTGAAAATGAATGGGGGCGCGTTTTGTTTACGGATGAGTCCAGCAATAAACCGGCGTGCAATAAACATTTACTTTTTGCACTTGTTGCAAAAATAACTATCATGTATTTAAATTTGTTACATTATTTCAGCATTTTTTCCGTTTATATGTTTGAAAACTAAAAAAATTCCTTTCTATAAACTTTTATAAATAATTATTTTAATTATACATAACGTCGCTGGAAAGACAAAGAGGCGTAACTCCAATTTAGCTATTTTACAGGAGACGCAATTAAACTTTTGGTGTATAGTGCATTGCGAATGCTTATTAGTGTATATTAATTTGCCATATTATTATGATAACTGTAAGGAGGAAAGATACGCTCCTCTGTCGCATCATAGATATGCACTTAAACAGGTTTGTGATGGTCTTAATGCAAATTGGGCATTTTTTGACTTACGCTCCTTTGCCTTTCCAGTGACGATAATAATAAGCTTACCGAGTGTCATAAAGGGATTCGTAAAATCAACTGCCTTTCTTCGTTCGTATGTTATTGTTAAATCACATATTCCAAGATCTGCCCTCTAAAAGTACGTTTTATGTTAATAGGATTCTAAAGATTTTATGTGAAAGTTCGAGTATTAAAAAAAGTAGTTACTTTTATAGGAAATAAATCAATCGATCTAAATCTAAGACATAAAGTAGGGAGTTATTTATATACCATTTGATCTATATAAAGTTTTCTGCTAACACGATAAACAGGGTGTCCAGAAAAACATACCGAGAAACTTTAAGGGGTAATGGAAGACAATAAACAGATGCCATCAAATGTGACGTTTGGACAGAAAACAGAAAAATGGTATTGTTCAGTTTTGTTTCAGTGATAAATAATTAATAATAATTTAAAAAATGTTCAGAAGGACTAATTATAATAAAATTGCAACAACTGTTTAAAATGTTGACCATTTGCGGTTTATTGACTCGCAGACCTAATGGAATATTCCTAGAACAGCTTCTACATGTGTAAAACTAGCCGTCTTGCTAATAAATCTTTTTTAGTACGATTAGGCTTTTCGTAGACTATAGGTTTCAGATAATTCCAAAAGAATAAATCTAGGGGTATGCAAGCCATGCCACGGGACCTCCTTCCAATCCATCGGTCAGGAAATCGTTGATTCAATTACTGGTGCACGTTTTAACCAAAATGACAAATTTTGAAAGTATAGTATTACGGTCTTAATATTGTCAGCTCTAGAATGTTTATTGTAATAAAGAAATGTTTTTGCTCGTCAACAAAAAACGTAGTTGAAACAAAAAATGTCAAAAAAGAATTCATTTAGTTATTTGGAATAATTAAAAACATTTTATTGTTCTACAGACCGAACGGCTCATTTGTTTTGATGGTCCCTATCAACCCTTGAAGTTTGTCGTTATGGTTAGGGATCATGTCTAGGGATCTTACGATATAACTGATATGATACTGGTATCGATACTTTTCTTTCGATACCGGGTAATTTAGTACCCGATACTTTGCTTTCGATACTTTATCCATATCGATACTACTACTTTCTATATTTTACTAGTTTTGACATTACAATACAAACAAAAAGAATAACCTAATGGTATGGCGTACCCTATGACCGTTTTTTTTTTTTTTGTTTGTTCTACATTCTTCCTGATATCGGTATCGATACTTTCGTTCCGACACCCTTTCGATAACGGCATCGATACACTTTGGTTCCGATACTATTTTCGATACCGGTATCGAACAGGTCAACCATTCTAGATTGAGCTTTATTTTGGTTCACTTTCGTAACTGTTCTAGAACTCTTCCAGAACCTTTGGAGCATGCGCAGTAGATATTCGATGTTTTGGTTTCGCCAGAACTAGTTCCGAACCTGTAAGTTCTGTGTTTTGGTTTTTCAGAATTGACATGTTTGCGCTTGCGCTTTTTTACAAGTTTTGTTTTTGGGATCCTGGCCATGTTTTGTGTTGGAATTTTCACAAGAAATTTTCGAATGACTAATGAGAGCAGTTGATTAGTTGTTGGGTAATAAGATTTTTTATAAATAAATTATTTAATTTATCTACGTTTTACAATATTATATGGCTTCTTTCTTACTCAGACACTGACCCTGTGTTATTTTTTCTTTTTATTTTTAATTTACTTTTTGACATTTAACTGTTCTGACAGTGTTTTGGTTTCGAGTAAAAATGGAATGATTACAGAACTGTTCAGAATTAAGGACCATTGCGCAATAGTTCTGCGCATGGTTCTGGAACAATTCTAGAACGGGAACCAAAACAAACTTTTGGCCTCTGAGATTTGGATGCGCAGTAGCATGCTCTAAGGCAGTAGCCTAAAGCTCCGCCCCGCTCGGGAGCTCAGTTTAACCGGTGCATTCGTGTTGTTCACATCGTCTAAGTACAGTCCGCAGAGAAAGTTTAAAACTTGTAATATTTTGTACTTTTTTAAAAGTGCTTAATTTTAAAATGCCGTTTACGAGTAAAGTAAAAAATAAAGTAATATTTGGACAAAGTCGTGAGATAATTAGCAATATACTGAATGTTATGCAAGCAGAAGCAGTCGCTGCAGTAGTTAAGTAGTTACTATTCCTCTCGCAAAGGTATTTTTTTTAAAGTTAAGTTTTTTAATGGATTAGTTTTGTGTTTCTGTATTATATTGTTTTAAACCCCATAGTTTTAAATAGATTATAATTCTAAATATTTTTATAGATTCAAGAACGTGTTGCAGAAGCAACGGACGTTTCCATTAGGAATATTCGACGGATTAAAACTGAAGCGAAGAAATCGAAGATTTCCCGCAGGCAGCGAGGCTTCAAAAAGCTCCGAAGCATTGGTGCGCTAATCAAAGAGGATGGCACGAAAACTGCCAACCTCGAAGATAGCATCAAACTTCTGGTGTCAACACACTTCCCTGACTCGGTCATCACAGACGTGGCCGACTGGGCAGAGGAAGAATACAATCCATCTGTCTATGATTGACAAACTGCCAAACACATTGTAGACGATGAAAAAATTAGATGGGCAATATCCAGCTTCTCTCCATTTAAATCGCCAGGACCTGACGGTACCTATCCAGCCCATTGACGATAATAAATTATCCGCACTTTTGTATTACATTTTTACGTCAATGTCAAATTCGAGATAATGTAGCTGGTCAGTTTTGGTGAGAATAAATGCCATTTTTCTTTAAATAGTTTCATATAATGATATAAAATTATTTTCATTTCGTCAGTCTTTAAATATAAAATTATTGAGTTCAAATAAATCAAAGTACGACTCAAGTCGCCATTTTGATTACACTTTTCCGTCACTTAAAGTGAATCCATTTTGTCATATCGTAAAATAGTGTTTATGTCGTCTCTACTTTTTATATACTATCTCGATGATCCTGCCCTACTTCAGTGGGGTCTGGAAGAACTCACACCGCACCTGGTAGGTATATTCAGATCCTCGTTGGCTCTGAGATATATCCCCAAAAAATGAAGAGAGATAAAAGTGGTATTTATACCCAAACCTGGAAGGATAGATTACACTGTCTCATACTGTCCCATTAACATACCGACCAATTAATCTGACATCGTTTTCCATGAAGACATTGGAAAGACTATACGAAAGGTACATAAGGGATGCGGTGATTACAACAACACCACTACACCCAAATCAACATACATACACCCCAGGCAGATCTACTAATTCAGCCCTTCATCTAGCTGCTGGCCGGATAGAAAGATCCCTGGACAATAAGGAGTCTGCCTTGGGTGTTTTCATAGACATAGAAGGTGCTTTTGATAAAACCACCTTCCCAAAGATAATACACTCACTAACCAACAGGAATGTTCCACAAATGGTTAGTGTGTGGATACATAACATGCTCTCAAAGCGAGCAGTAAACATAAGTGTAGATGTTAATATAAGAGGCTTGGTTGCGAGAGGATGTCCACAGGGAGGGGTGCTATCACCTCTACTGTGAAATATGGTCCTCGAAACCCTCATCAGCCGCCTCAATAATGACAGTCAGTACACAATCGCATATGCAGATGACCTGGTCATTCTGCAAACAGGGAATATTGAGAACATACTCTGCGAAAGAATGCAAGTAGCTCTAAAAATTATAGAACAGTGGTGCAAGGACCATTCACTGTCTATCAATCTTAAGAAGACAGAAATGGTCCTTTTCACAAGGAAAAGGATGAAAATGGAATTAAAACCTCCAGAACTCCTAAACACAAAACTGAACTTTGCGACAGAGGTGAAGTACCTATGTCTTACCTTTGACAGCAAGTGAACATGGAACTCGCATTTAGAAAACAGAGTTAAAAGAGCATACATTGCTTATGAACAATGCCGCCGTACTGTGGAATGCACCTGGGGTTTCTCCCCCAGAGTCGTCGCATGGACTTACACGGCTATCATATGACCTATGCTAACATACGGTGCAGTTGTTTGGGTACCGAAAACCCAAAAATTAACAGCTATCCGTAAACTAGAACAAATTCAAAGAACAGCATGTCTCAACATAACAGAAGCCATGAAAACAACACCGACTAGATCGATGGAAATCATTCTTAGTCTCACTACCCTTGATATTTACATCAAGGAGATCGCTCTGACGACAATGACACGCCTCCGCACAGTCGGAATAGATCCTGATGTAGGATCTGGTGAGGCGAGACGTCACTTTTGGCAGGAGGCGCTCGATACGCTCCCACTGCTTCAAGCAAACATGGGCTCTATCTCACCGATATACAACTTCCATAAGCCACATAAAGTTATAATAGAACAAATAGAAGAGCCAGAAGTGGCAGGTACGATTCATATCTACACCGACGGTTCTAAAACAAAACAAGGCTCATGATGCGTAATATACTCCAGATTCTTAAACCTAAACATAAAATGGGCTGTGAGCAATAGTGCCAGTGTAGTTCAAACAGAGCTAACCGGGATTCTCATAGCAGCAAAAGAAATAACCAGAAATAATATCACTGGAAGGAACATGCTCATCTATGCAGATAGCAGACAAGCACTACTCACCCTGAACAGACCACGAATTTATTCAGGGTTAGTACTAGAATGTCATGAAGCTTTAGCCGAAGTATCCATCAACAATGTGGTCACCTTAAGATGTATCAAAGGTCACGCCACATCGAAAGGTAACCGTCTTGCTAATTCACTAGCCAAGAAAGCAGCCAACCAAATACTTTTTGGACCTGGCCCTTCTATTGGCCTGACAAAATTGGTAGTGACAGACCTAATTAAAGAACATTCCCTTGTAAAATTCAAGGAAAGATGGGATGAAACAAGAAACTGCAGAGCTGCCAGGGAGCTCTTAAGTTATCCTGACAACACTGCAACAAACAAATACTTGACTATGAATAGACAGAATCTGCGTCTGGTCACAGGCATTCTGACTGGTCATTGCCAAGTACGGAAGCATCTCCATATCATAGGGCTGTCAGAATCCGCACTCTGCAGAGGGTGCGAACAAGAAGATGAGACCATCGAGCATATCCTTTACGATTGCCCGACGCTCTCATTTATTAGAAGATTTGTGTTCGGTGAGTATCGGCTAACACCGGCCGATATAAGAGAAGCACCTCTTGGCGACGTTGTCAACTACATTAAATATGTAGGTTGGCTGACGAGCTAGGAGGTGCCTATCATCTTAGGAGGATGCACAATGGGCCTAATGAGGCCCAAGTGCCGTGGGGGTAACCCACCCTCCACACGTTACAGATGCAGAGATACAGAAAACTGAAGCGAAGCAAGTTGAAACGGGACATTCAACAAAAAACACCTAATAAAAAGAGAGTTAACAGGAAAACTCTTCTTGACGACGCAGATTTAGCAATTTTGCGAAGAACAAATGTTAATCACCACATAACAGAAGACGATTCCTACATTAAGGACAGTTCATAGAAATTTGTAGAAGATAATGGCTACCAAGGTTGTGCAGAAACATTGCGTAAATACATTTACAAAATTGGTTTTTGTTGGAGAAAATTTCAGAATAATCGTCGAATACTCATGGAACGTGAGCCCATTAGACTGCTTAGAATTAAATTTCTTAGAAGGATACGTCAGTACCGAGGAGAAAATCATCCTATATGATATACATGGACCAGCCATACATTCACACTCACGGAAAGGGATGGCGCGATGAAACTGTAGAGGGCTTACAAAAACCAATAGGCAATGGTCCGCGTCTTATTATAGTGCACGCAGGTGGCGAAAATGGGTTTGTTCCTAATGAATAAATTAGATGGAAATCAAACTGCAACAGTAGCGACTACCATAATGACATGAATTTCGAGAACTACAAAAAGTGGGTTTTGGAAAAACTCATTCCCAATTTAAAACCAAAAAGTATTGTGGTAATTGACAATGCCCCGTACCATAACAAACAATTGGAAAAATCGCCAACGTCATTGTCAAGGAAAGCGGAAATGCAAGAATGGTTACGGTTTAGAAGTATACCTTTTGATAATAAAATGTTAAAACCACAACTTTACGGCCTAGTAAAAAATCACAAACCAAGGCACAATAAATTAAATTGACCTGCTTTTTAAAGCAAAAGGCCACGACGTATTGCGACTGCCTCCATATCATCCAGATCTGAATCCTATTGAGTTGGTTTGTACTGAAATAAAAGAGTAGGTCTCCAAAAGGAACGTAAATTTTAATTTTAACGAGGTCATTCAGTACTCTGATGATTTTTTTAACAAATTCTCAACCGACAAATGGAAATCTCGATATGAGAGAGCTAAACGGTTTGAAAAAGAATATATTTCAAAGCAACCAACAATAGGTGCAGTTGTGGAAAAGCTTATTATTAGATTGGGCGAAAATGATAGTAATTCAGAAAGTGATGGAACTGATGGGTCAGACGAAGAAGACAATAATTTATTTGGAATCGAGAAATTAAAAGAAAATGATGGGGCGCAAAACTTATTTGCTGAAAATAATAAAATTTATTTTAGCTTGTAAATTTTATGTGTAAATGTATTTGTTAATATTTATTATGTAATAAAAGTTTTACCTGTTTTAAACAAATAATTGTGTTTAATTTTTCATTAATATTATGTATAAAGAAGAGCAAATATGACTTTTTTAAACTGGTCACTGTTTCAGGGTCTTCTTACGTCAACAGAATTATTAAATTTCCAACTGAAGTATCCAGTTCAGCAAGAAATTCGTATCCAGTATCTTTTTTTAAGAACATTTTTAAAATTTTGAAATATATCTTCCTTGACACATTTACAAGCCTATTCAGGCACCTTTAATTATACAGATTTAATGCTTTCTGAAAGTGCTAAGATGGAAGCTTCTAACTAAATTAGCGTTTTATGAACAAAACTATTATTAATACACTTAATAAATGAAAGCTGCTCTTCAGATTCTTTATTTTCATATTTCACATAAATTGATAAGATGGTTATTTTGGAAACGTTCCTTTGTTGTTATTTTATTGTCCTAATTGCAGGTATTACATTTCTTGACCATACCGATCAAAAAGGCCCACCCAAACGTAGGTTTTCCAGGTAATCGATAGTGGATAGCTTCAAAGCGAAGAAAAAATGCATGACAATTTCAAAAATAGAACCCTTATTTTTCTATTTAGTTTTAGGAAAAAATATACAAATATATTAAAAAATGCATAAAATAAAATATGCATTCGAGGAACTTCCTGTCGTCTATCTCTGTTACAAAATGACTCTTTCATTCTTTCTTCTGCGCATCTCAGAAGCCAAGCAAGAGTGGTTGACCTGTAGTAAGATATGAGTCGTATCTTTAAAAAATATACTAGGTTAGTCATACCCTATGATAATATAACTTTTAGTATGCTATGACTAACCAAATGTTACTTTTTGAGCACAACAGGGAAGAAAAATACGAATTCAATCATATTTTTTAGACTTTAATGTTTGTACTTACATATTCAAGTAATTCTTTGATAATTCCATTCCACTGTTTGGTAACTGGATCAAAGTTGCCATACATGCCGTCCGGTACTAAATCGAAAGTAAAGCTGCAGTTTAAGTTTTCGGGTTTGCAGATTTCCGTCATCAAATCCACGGCGTAGCCTTCAAATCTGGCGTTTCCATATAAAAGTTTACCACCTGTTTCTTCAATGGCCATCAAATACGGGTCTCCTAATCTATTAGAAATCAAATGCGTTTAGAAAAAAAAATATTTTATTAAACTAATATTAGGTAGTTTATAGTTTAGAAATTTAAGCGAATAGGAAAGGGATGAACATTCAAAAATATCATATTATTGAGTTGGCGAACGTTTAAATATGGAAGCTCATACAAAAAAGAATACATTACAGCGACAAAGTGTCATATTATCATTAAATTAACGGATTTGTTACTCTTCATTTCTAAATTCTAGTGCATGGCTTGAGATCTCTAACGACTTTATCCAAACTTAAGTTTTTGTCTAAAGCCTAGATTCACATGTTTGTATGTTCAATTGGCCAATTATGCAGACATACATGCCAATGACTGTTTTGTTTGAGCATTATATGTACCTAACAAAAATACCTTATAGTAAGTGTACTGGGATTGTCCAACTTTTTATTGTAGGACCTGTAAATTTGACAGTAATTGAATTGATTTTAAATTAACAAATATGGGTTAAGATTCGACTAACCCCTACAAACATTTTGTTATGGGAAGATAACGGCCTTTAAATGTGTGTACGTTACTTCAAGTAGTGGATTTTCGTTGGGAGTCTGGCATTGGTCCAACTTTTTGTTACAACAGGCGGCAATAAGCCGTCGTCACTTTACCAGCAGTAAGTAGTGAAAGGCCTACAAATAGCCAGCAATTTCCCATAATATTAATGTTAACTTCCTTTCAATGGGCTTGCATAAGACTCGTAACTTTGCCAGGCATAAGTAGTAAAAGATTTGCAAATGGCCAGCAGTTTACCATCATATTAATGTTAACTTGCATATGGCTCGTTACTTTACCAAAAATAAGTTGAGAAAGACCTGGCAGTTTTCCAGCAGTTATCTATAATATTAATGTTATTTTCCCTTTAAAGGCTTGCATAAGGATGTTATAAAAATAATGCCCGACTTTTAAAGGAAATATACCACGTGTGACACATAAAAAATGGGGATGCAACGTTTGGAATATTATTACCCCAATCCTCAATTTCAGTTCTCTCTTGAATGAAAAACGTGTTACTTAATCAGAATAGGACATCGCATATGAGAGCTCATTTTATAAGTTATTCAATGCTGCACTTAACAATTAACCTAAATGTTTCTATATTACACTTATTTCAAAATCAAGTTAGTAATGCGCTAGTAAGTACCTGTTTCAAGGAATAAAGGAGCTTTATATGTGGGGAAAACTTTTAAAACTGGCAAAAGAGATTAAATATCTTGGAATCACTCTTGATGACAAGCTTAGCTTCTGCAGCCATATGGACAAACAACAAAAAAAGCTGTAAGAATGCTATGGGTCTGTAGACGGATGGTAGGGAACGTATGGGGACTTAAACCATGATGCACTGGCTTTACACTATGGTTGTAGTACCTGTTATAACTTACTCAGTCATATGGTGGCACAAGACTAAAAGCATAATAGCTAACAGAAAATTAGACAAGGTGCAAAGACTAGCCTGTCTAATAATAACAGGGGTATTTAGAACTACGCCCATAGCAGCAAAGGAGCTACTGCTAGGTATTCCTCCACTTCACCTTGTGGTGGAGAAGGAGGCTATGGCGACGGCATACAGGCTGTTTACTAATGGATTTGTATGGGAACTTTCGAGAAAAGGACACTACACAATTATATTAGAGAAATTAAAACAAAATCCGGTACTAAGAATGCCATCGGATAGAACGCCCATTATTCACGACTTCAGGAAACCTTTTGATATTCAAATACCAGAAAGGGCCAAAGCCGGGAAAATAGGGAAAAACAAAACGAATCAATCTGGTATACAGACTGTTCGAAAATGAAAAACAGCACAGGAGCTGGGATCTACCATGTGAACTCAGGGAGGACAATTAGTTTGAACCTGGGGTCACTGACAACAGTCTTCCAGGCTGAAGTAACAGCAATAAATACCTGCGCCAAAGTCATTCTAAATGACTCTCTTAGAGATAAGAGGATCTTTATCATGACAGACAGTCATGCAGCCCTTAAAGCACTGAAAAGGGTAGAAGTACAATCTAAATCAATATTTTATTGCCAACAGACCCTCCGAGCCCTGGCAGAACATAACAAGGTCACCCTTGAATGGGTGCCAGGATATGAAGGAGTGTTTGGAAACGAGAAAGCAGACCTCCTAGCAAGGAAGGGAGCGGAAAAAACTCTTATGTGACCAGAACCCATATGTGGTATCTCATACCAACATGTTAAATGGGTGTTAAAGGAACAAATAAATAGAGAATATCATAGGCTCTGGATGGAACTTCCTGGACTTAGACAGTCAAAAAGATTCATAGAGATGCCATCCACGAGCAGACAACATCAACTGCTAAACCTTAGCAGAAGCGAACTCAAGGCCGTAATAGGACTCCTTACGGGACACTGCAGCCTTAGAAAACACCTAAATCTCTTAGGGATATCTGATGACTCCCTATGTAGAATATGTGAAAAGGAGGACGAAACTCCTATTCATATACTATGCCACTGTAGGAACCTTAAATGGGAACGGGAATGGTACTTCGGGGTACAATATCCAGAACCTGAAGAAATCGCGAAAGCGCCCATTCTTGAATTCATCAAAAAATCAACCTGATGGGATAGAAACTGTGAGGGGTACAATAAGCCTAAAGCTTCAGTACAAGTGGGCTTTGAACCACGCCCTAATTCAGATAGATAAAAGTACCTGTTCTATACTTTTAAATTATTATATAAGTTAATGTTATGTAGTTTATTTGAACTACTAATAAAATTAGCACACTTTGTACATAACACTTTTTATCTCTAAAAGGTGCTACCTAAATTATATTTGTATTTATTAATATGGGGTCAGATCCAACTAACGCTTCCTAAACTAAATTTTTCTGAGATGAGATTTGTATTAGGAAAAGTAGGATTATATACTCTTAATGTTACCTAAACTGTATTTTTAATCATTTATATGGGATAAGATTTAACTAATACTACTTAAACTGTGTTTTTATTGATTCATATGGGATTAAAATCTGACAGCGCTACCTAAATTGTAATTTTATTAATTTACATGGGGTTAGATTCTACTAACTCTACCTAAACTGTATTTTTACGATTTATATGGGATTAGATTCTAACTAAAATAAACAAAGAATGATTGTTTGACATTATGCTTAATTGGAACTTAATTTGTTACTTAGTTGATTAAACATATCTCATTTATTTTAATTTTACTAATCACAGTAACGATTCAAAATATAATTGAAAAATCACCCCACTCTTACTCTGAATTAACGTTGACATTACTATTTTTAAGGATTTACACGTAGGTAACTATTTAAAAATAATTTGTGTATTGATGTATGGATGATAAGAGTTATATAAGTTTTCAGTAATCTATAACTAGAGCAAGATTGTATATGGATAACAGTTATTTTAATTAATTCTTGCCTACTCGAAAAAGTATCTACTAGTAAACAAGAATTTACATTTCTGAAAAAAATAAATAATAATAATAATACCTGGACACGACACGAAAATTCCTTTTCTGTATTTTTTTCCTTAGTTCAGTATCCCTATCTTCTAAGGTCAATGTTAAATTCAGTTTGTCTGGTACGAGAGGATTCCAGCTCCCAGTTACTCTAAATTGACTCTCTTCAAGTTCTATAATTTGTAATTTGTAAATTTGTCTGTAGCCTATTTGATCAAATTCCGTAATGACGCCGGTTAATGGTTCCAAAAGTAGTGTGTCGTTTGTCTTTTCGAAAAAAAATATATATATATATATATATACTGGGTGGGCCACTTAAAGGTTCCACCCCCCTCTTTATCTTCGTTATTTATTGAGATATCGAAATATTTTTTTGTTTGAAAGGCTGGAACATATACTTTCCTATAATTAATTCAATTATTCTGTGACGTCATGGCTTACTTCCGTTTTTTCCGGAAATAACAGAAAATCGCAATTTATTTTTTATTTTTAAATTGAAACCCACTTTTTTATTGTAAATTTGAATTTCTAGCTGCTCTCAAAATAAATAATAAATAATTTTATTATTAGTAAACCGTTTAATAATTCCATCCGCTTTTATATTCGTTGTTAATTGAGATATCAGAATGAAAACGTTTTTGTTTAAAAGCTTATAACAGATACTTTCATTTACTGGATCCAATTGGTCTGTGACGTCATGGCTTACTTCCGATTTTCCCGGATATAACTGAAAATCGCAATTTATTTTTAATTTTAAAATCAAAACCCCTTTTTTATTGAAAATTTGAATTTCTGGGACGTTTTTCGACAAGAAATATGTGTTGAAATTTTTCTGTCAGCTGTCAAAATGACCGTCACATTGGTTATTTTATTTTTTAATATGTTACTGTAAATTCGTTTATGGAAAAAAAAATGGGAATGTATAAAATCTTTGCAAGCTACACAGTTTTTATTAGGGCCCATTTACAGTATACCAATGGCGTATCTAAGATTTTTTTATCTAAGATTAGCAAACCGTTTAATAATTTCAGCGCTCTTATCTTCCTTATTAATTGAGTTATCGGAATTAAATTTTGTTTGTTTGAAAGCTTGGAATAAATATTGTCAAATAATTGATTTAACTGGTCTTTGATGTGATGAAGAAAGTTTGAAATAAAATGTGTCATTTGTCATGTCAAAATACTAAAAATTGCGTCTTGTTTATGCACTAGTGCGTAAAAAGTTTTACTTTACGCACTAGTGAAAAAAGTTAAACTTTATGCACTCCGTAGTGCGCATAATGAACGCATAATGTACGCACAGTAGTAGAAAAATAAATTAATACGACACACAACAGATCTATAAATTTAAAAAATGTTTATTTTTATATTAAATTTTAAAGTAGCTTAATTTCATCAGAAAGCTTTAAGAAATCAATATAATAAAACAATACCCACCATACAATAATAAACATTGATAAGTTCACGAAATTTAAATTTTCAATAAAAAAGTGGGTTTCCATTTAAAAATAAAAAATAAATTGCGATTTACTGTTATTTTAGAAAAACCGGAAGTAAGCAATGATTTTACAGATCAGTTGAAGTAAGTATTTGACATTATTTATTCCAAGCTTTCAAACAAAAAAGTTTTCATTCCGATATCTCAATTATTAAGGAAGATAAGAGCGGGTGGAATTATTAAACGGTTTGCAATAACAAAAATCTTAGATACGCTCTGGTACATTATAAATGGGTCTCAATGAGAATTTTGAAGCTTACAAAAATGTTATACATGCCCATATATTTTTCCATAAACGAATTAACACTAACATATTAAAAATATATTATCCAATTCGACGGTCATTTTGAGAGCTGAGAGAAAATTTTCAACACACGACTTTTATCCATAAATGTACCTGAAATTCAAATTTTTTATAGAAAGAGGGTTACTATTTAAACACTAAAAATAAATTGCGATTTTCTGTTATTTCCGAAAAACTGGAAGTAAGCCATGACGTCACAGATCAATTGAATCCAGTATATAACAGTATTTGTTCTAAGCTTTTAAACAAAAAAGTTTTCGTTCCAATATTTCAATTTACAACGAAGATAAAAGCGGATAGAATTATTAAACGGTTTGCTAATAATAAAATTGTTTAGATACGCCTCTGGTGTATTGTAAGTGGGTCTCAATAGCAATTTTGAAGCTTACAATGATTTTATGAAGATCATACATTACCATATTTTTTTCCATAAGCGAATTAATGGTAACATGTTTAGAAAAAATACTATCCAATATGGCGGCCATTTGGACAGCTGACAGTAAAATTTTATTATACGCTTCTTGTAAAATATTGTCCCAGAAATCCAAATTTACAATAAAAAAGTGGGGTTCAATTTAAAAATAAAAAATAAATTACGAGTTTCTGTTATTTCCGGAAAAACCGGAAGTAAGATATGAAATCACAGAATAATTGAATCCATCGTAAGCAATTATTTGTTCCAGTCTTTGAAACAAAAAAAAAATATTCAGATATCTCAATGAATAAGGAAGATAAGGGGCCCACCCTGTATAAAGGGTGTTTCATTGGTAAACGGGAATATGTTAACGGCATACAAGGGTCGCCTAGGTTGTTTTAAAAAATCCATACTTCATGGGTCTTTCTCCCTTTATAACCGAGATATCAATTTTGCCGATTTATTTCTAGGCTCATAACTTTTGAAACATGCGGTATATTCTTTTAATATTTGGTATACAAGTACAACTTGATTCGTCAAATCCAGTGACGTATTATTCATAGGGAAAATCCAGGTCAGGATTAACAAAAAAATTACAAATTTTTTGGTACCTAAAGAAACACCCTGTATATCATAATTTTAAATAACCCTTTACAAATTCGAAAAGAGCAGAAAAAATTGAGTTACACCAAATGGTTTTGGTATATACAGTTTTCTTACTTATTAATTTGAGTCAAATCAAATCAAATCAAATCGAAAATATTTTTTTTCTAATTAAGTATTTACATTTCCAGTTTAAATTCATAATATCATTAACTTTTTTCATTCTTTTAATTTTTAAATCTCAATCTTTAAAAAACCGAAACGACAGGGGTGTATCGGGTATAAAATTTCTATAATTCTAATTTCAATAGTATCTTAAACGTCCTGTACTTATAACGATAGTGTAGTAATATTTGGTAAAAATGTAAATTATTCACATAAGAAAAGGTGAAAATACATTTTGAAAAAAGCCGAATTTTGCTTTGAGTCACATTTATAGGGTAATCATTACAAAATATTATTTATTATAAGAAAAAAACTAAAAATAAATAAAAAATAATTACGTAGAAAATAATAATAATACGCCACCGTTTTGTACAATACATTTCTGATTTATTTTAGTGAGGTTTTGTATTGCTCTAGTAATCATAGCGGGATTATTTCTCAATTCTTCGCAGACATCTTCGATTCTTTAAAGAAGTTCCTGTCCAGTATTTACATCAGATGAATAGACTTTCGACTTTAAACAGCCCCAAACATGATAATGGATTGGGTTAAAGTCAGGTCTCCAGGAAATCGGCGTTCATATTCCCTTTGGGCAGCTTTTCCATTACCATCACAGGATCAATACACATACAACATATCTCCATATTCATTATTTTGAAATTTATGGGATATATTCAGCAAGAATATCTAATAACAAAAGTACACACTCGGAAATTATGTCCCACTGACAATAATACACAGAGCTATCACATTTGTTTTTTTTTTTCACTATAGCCTACTTGATTATTTCCAAAAATAGGAAAATCCAACTGAAATCCTGACCTGGGTTTTCCCTATTATTTATAGGTCACTGGATTTGACAAATTAAGGTATACTTCTATACCGAATATCAAAAAATTATACAGCGTATTTCAAAATTTATGAACCTAGAAAGAAATCGGTAATATCTCCGTTATAAAGGGCGACAAACCCATGAAGTATGGGTATTTTGGAAGTTCCTAGGTGACCCCCATATGCAGTTAACATAGGCCTATTTACCAATAAAATACCCTGTATAAAATGTATTAAAAATCTGTACATGGTCTAATTGACAAATATTTCGGTGTTAATTTAATGGATTTACAACAAGATTCCTTGGTTATGCTAAAAATCAAAATAAAATCTCGTTGATTCTTGGAGAAGGAGAATAATTTTCTTGATTCAAACAACAGGTTTTTACATATATTAACATTCATGCACCGAGAAAATTTTCCAATTAGAAATTTACAGCAAACTTTTAAAATATATTTTTCAATGACTGTTACTTATAATAATGGAATTTAAATATAGATATTAATGTTTTTCTTTTCAATCAATGCACCGACAATCATCGCTTCTTCTAATGCATGTGCGATCGCCTAGAGTTGTTCACTCTGATACAGGCAAAGAAGGAAATAAAATATATTTAGTATTATTTTCTACGTTATTTAAATTATGTTTTTAATAATAAAATTTGTATTTCTTTCTTAATAAATATTTTGTTTTTTATTTGAATATTTTTAAGCAGTAAAACAAAATATTATTTTAGACCCATTAGATTAAACACCGATAACCGTGACTTATTGTGAACAAACCTTTAATAACGTTTCTGAAAACAGTTGTCCATGAGCTGAAGTTTTATTCAGCTCACAACTCAAAGGTTCCAACGCCACTCTTCCCTTTTTCTCCATTTCTGAGAAGACAGAGATGAATAGATTAAGGGAATCATATAAAAGAGCTGTCTTTGTCTGAAAATAAAACATTGGTAAATTTTATTGGAAAACATCTAACAACTAAGTTTGGTAACAGCGGATTTTATTCAGTGGCGTACATTAAAAATCATCTCTAACTATTTAACATATTTTTCTTAAATTGAGTTTATAATAGCACGTCTATGGTTAATAATCACAATCACGAGTCAACTGATACAAAGATTAAGAAAAGGATTTACGAGCCATACGGTGTAGTTATTTATGGTACAATAATAATGCCGTCCTAGGTCACCAGACCTCGCTCAAAATGATTTCTTTTTTTAAAAGTTTCTTTTTAAGAAATCAATAGACATCAATGGGAAGTAGCAACTAATATTGATGATGTAAAAATATTACACCAAACTAACTAAGAGATATGAGTCTTTCGATCACAGGACCTAGGCCCGTTGATGGCCTCGGCCCGGGCCATCAACGGGCCCAGTTTCGTCAGATTTGTACGATGTATATCTACCGCGCGATGGAAAGTAACGGGCCTATCACGGGCCGGGCCAAATAGGATCGCAGTAGGCCATTTGCTTTTCATGGCGTGGTAAATATACCACACCGTACAAATCTGACGAACCTGGTTATATCCATAGATAACAGGAGATGTAACTACCAACAAATATCGTGCAATCTTGAATTAGACATATTCTAAGAAAAACAGGAGGGTATAATATCCGTTGTTGTCATATGCCTATTTCATTATTCTCATTTTGTTTACAAAATTATTTGCATATATTAAAAAAAATTAAATAATTCAACCTATTTGATTGCAACTGAACCCAAAAATGTTGAATCATTAGTTATATCAAATTTAACTAAATTATATGTAATTTCACTAAATTAAATGTAATAATTTTTAATAAATTTCAAAACCTAGTAATCGTAAGTTAGAAGTGGCAACAGGGCTTACACCGTTACGTTGTTTATTATAAGCGCACATTTATTCATTGATAAAATAAAGTTGTATATCTGCGTAAAACTCTTCTCTTTATTCTCTCTCTTACTTCTTACCTTTCGACTTCTCACCGCGGACTTACAAATGGAGTGTATCGATTGTTGACTTAATCTTGGCATCGTGAATATTATATTTTATCAATGAATGATTAATCTGGTTATATCTATACGCAACTTTACGAGACGTCAGATGATAAAAAACCTGCAACGTTGTCAGGTAAATTTTTTCCTTCACTTAAAGATTACATTGTAATAGTGTTCTTTCTTTTTTCTTAGCTTGAATATAAGTGCTATCAACTTTAAACTGCTATTAATAGGGTTAATTGAAGATTGAAATGGATGTAAAAAAGAATTGCTAGTCCATAAAACAATAATAAATTAACTATAAAACATTTTCTAGTTAAAATAAATAGATTAAAAAAAAAGATTCCACTAATAAAATTTTACTCACGCGAATATCAGTAGGCTTGATGTCATCTAACTGTTTTCTACTTCGTTGATAATTTAGTTCATTTTGAATAGCCATATTTTTTAAATTGTCTAGAATATTATATCTCATATTCTGATTCCAAGCTAATGCAGCATTTTTCACATGGGCACTATTTGGATCTATTAGTCTCATAGCTGTAATATTACACCTGATATTTTTAAATTCGGACCAGTCTAAAGTATGGGCATCCTAAAATTAAAAACAAAATAAAAGTTTCGCTACAATAAAGCTATAAATATTTGAGGTGCCCAGTGCAAAAATCAGGTATCTTCAAATTTTAATATTATTTTAAGGGGAAAAAAGTAATTATAAAATATTCTTTTACAAACTTATATTTTCAATATTATATATTGACTAAGATTGAAATTGTAACTTGGATTTTACTAAGTAAGGCTTAAAAAATCAATCTGAGTCACTATATTTGGAATGGTCAAGATGTTCATTATATGCTTCTACAACTTCTTATTTGCGTTGTGTCTCTTCAACGCTTTCTGGCTCTGAATTTGACATGGTTAAACTAGATAAACACAAAAGTAGCTCAACGTTTTTGTAAACATAACAATTTACACTGTTCAGTGTTCAGTATAAATACAAAGGTATAAAGAAAATATTTTATTTTACAGGTTAAAAATTAAACCAAACTATAAGTACCTACTTAAGGTTGGAGAAATCAAAAACAATATTTAAATTTTATCAAACAATAACAAAACAAGTTACGAACACACAAACATTTTAAAAAGACATAAAAGTAATATCCTGATCATTGTCTAATCTAAGATAAATGCATCCAGTTTCTGGGTCTGGAAACCATGAAATAAATCTTTCAATTTATTTGTGTCAAAAAAATATATTTCCGGATAATTTAACCTTTTTACAAGTTCCTTAACTACTTTGTTGTTTAATTTATATCTATGGTAATTGACATAGAAAAATAAAAAAGGATTGAATAAATGGCGGGACTTGTTTCCTTATTGCTAGTTCAACCGTAAGCGCTTAGCGTTTTACACCCATAAAAAAACATAAAAAAATATGGTTTCAAAAATAATGACAAAGAAATCAATAATTTTACTGATTTACTCCTTTAAATATCACTTTATTATAATGTGTGATCAAATACAGGGATAATCGTTAATAAATGTAAAGTTGAAGCTAAATTTAAATATTATGAGATGGTCTAAATCTGGCTTTGAAAATAAATTAGGTTATGTTGCCATAAATATGTCAGCCTGATATTATTTTTATTTTCAAATGTAGGCGATATTTTTTTCAAATGAAGGTGAGTAAATTGTATTAATTTAGTGTAAATTAGATTTAACTAATTTAACTATAAGGAGGTTCTTAAGAATGTCATTAACTTCTGATTCATTTAAATTTTAATTGCAGAAGTAAATATTTTTCTCACAAAACTAACAAGACATTTTATATTTTTTCTATTATTATTATTATTACTCTTAGAGATAAATGGATCCACATTTTAATCATTTGTGGTCAAAAAAATGAAGAGTTGTGAGCGAAATGTTTGAAGCCAATTCACAAACACATACTGTAGAACGCGAGATAGAACCTCATCATAGTTTTACTCATAACGACCATGATAAAAAAAAGGCGAATGATTTGTGCTCAAAAAGTTATTGTTCAATTTTTGGGTGATATTCATAATTATATTTATCAAATAATACCCAAATATGTTCAAAAACTAATATGATATTTATGTCAACTTGTTAATTTTTGCATAGTTCACCTATTAAGATCATAAATTAGATATTTTTATTTTATTGAAATTTTTATACCTTTTATTGCAAGAAAATATGTAAGAATTTAAAAAGTTATGACTCGTGTTAATTTTTAATTTTAAGATAAAAAATGTTAAAAATGTGTTTTACTTTTTAACTAATTTTATTTTTCAGTTAAAACAAGAGACATTTTCCATTTTTCAACATTTACCTACAACAAAAATTCACTAAACTTATTGTTTGTTTAGTAATTGTAAGTAAAAGTTGTCAAATAGGAAAATGTTACTTCAAAGTGCTTCAAATATCTAAATTATGAAGCCCGCCAATTTTTAAATCGTTTTACTTAGTAGTGTCCTGTTTTATCGACTAAAACTGATAGGTGTAGTTCAACTTAGCGCTACTGTCGAGGTCAACCAACTATTTACATATAATCCGACCCCCGTGGTAATTGACCTTGATTCCCCGTCGGTATTTGTGTTTGATGTCGACGAGATATAACTGACAAAAAGTAAAATATGCCTCACGTCACAACATTTAATGATTCCACCTCGATTTATACTAGACATGGGCTGTTTGGTTATCATCCTCCGTAATATGCAAAAATTTGTTTCGTCTTTAGCAAGAGATTTTAAAGTATAAAATACTTCTTTGAAGAAGTTAATGTGAAGTTTTAATTCTTGATTGCCCCAAAACTCAAGGTATATAAAACCATACAAAAGGGACACCAACCAGTCTGTGAAGTATCTGAAAATACCTGAAAAAAGTTTAAGTTTTGTAACTTGACCTAATCCAACATTTTCTGCCACATATCTAATTCTTGTAATATTGAATTTGACATTATAATTTAGGTAATCTCTCTGAAGCGAAATATATTTTATTTGGAGAGATTTTATGTGAGTAGAAACGTAACTTCTATCAGGATAAGAAGATACGAATTGAGTTTAAATCACTGCATTTACTTTTAAATGATTTCGATTTACTTTATTCAATAAAAAATAATAATCCACAACCAATGCTAAAGTGTGTATTGGAAATTTATTAATTTTTAAAATTTTATGTTTGATTATGGATTTCCAAGTAATGCAGATGTGTCATTTTTTTTGAGAAATATCAGATACAACTTGAATCACATTATATAATAGGTTGTGACAACAAAAAAACGGCAAGACTCTTTATTTCTTAGACTCTATTGAACATTATTTACTATATTCTCTACTTTAGATTTACGAGGAAGTTTTTAGCATAATTAAAATAAAAACAGAAAAAAGAAAAATGTGACAGCTAACGGCTCCAACTTTGACCGAAACTCGCGAGCGTACACATAGACCGTCAGATAGTCAGCTGCCCCATTTTCGCATACAAGCCTCAAAGAGGGTTGAAAATTACATCGATTTAAAGTAGAATGGATGTAAATTTACGAGTGGGACAACACATGGAAAATTAGATTTTCCCCAACAAAAATGAAACGTTATTTGTTGCCCATATTTCCACGCAAGTCGTTTTCACTATATGATTAATAAATAGAACTAGGCTTCAAAAAACCAAAGGCTTCAATGTTGCAAGTGGCTAAAAAGTTGAAATAAGGGCGTAAGGAAAAATCAAGATTTTACCAGATTTTTCCACACAAGCCTATAGAATGTATGAAAATGTACATCGTCACTAGTTCGAAAAATATATTTTCTTGAATGACTTGAATGTATAAGTGCATTTTGGGATCGGAAAATTTGTCTGATAAGGAAAATTTTTCATGTGTTAGCCCAAAGAGCCACTCGTAAATTTTCTTTTATTCTACTCAATATAGATGTACTTTTCAACCCTCTTCGAAGCTTGTATTCGAAAATGGGGCACCTAAATCGGTCACTATCTGACGGTCTAAAAATAACGGAATTCTAAGTTTTACTAACGCTTTCACGAGGCTGCCAATTATTTTCTTTTTGTAAATTTCGTGACCTTTTAAATCTCCAACAGTATTTAGTTTGATCACAATAGCGATGAGTGTATAAAAACAACGTCGATATAGTCATTTCCAACCCCTTAGCGAAAAGGATGTATTTATAAATGATTTTTAAAAGGCTACTGAAGATTTTAGCCCGGTACCAGTTTTGATTTTCTAAAAATAGCTTCTTTTATATTAGACTCTTACCCCGGTAAGTGAGTAGACACATAACAGTTAAAAAGTTTAGTTTAAATTATTTTAAAAAGTATTTTATACAGCAAAACTATTTTTCAAATAGGAAGCTTTATTTTTATGACGCAAAATACGTTTAAAACTAATAAAAACGTTTCAAAATCAATAGGTTGATCAACGGTGTGGAAACTAACTACCCCTAATGGAAGTTTTAACCTACTATTATTGCGCAATTTTTAAGGAATATCCTATAAAAATCGTTTTTACGCCGATTTTCATATCTTTCGTGGCTTTTTAGTGGGAAATTAATGGATTTTCCAAGCAGTTGTGTCATTGAAAAGTCGTGTTTTCATCTCAGTTATCTTCAGGACATTTTTTGTAATGAAATAGTTTGTAATCGGAAAAGCTTTTACACATTAAAGCAATATTTCGAAAAACATACGAGGGCCATGTTGAAATAATTTAGATATGATGATTAAAATAAATAAAATATTTTTGTTTTATATTTATTTAAAGTAAAGTATTCCCGTAAAGAGTCAATAGTTACAATTTTCCATTCTATTAAACCAATTGCTAAAGACAACAGACCAAATTCCCCTTGGAATTTATTATACGGGTACATAACTTCGTTTACACACGATGGGCGTTTTTCAAAATTTTCCCTTGTTTTTTATGTCTCTCCTTAAATCAAATGTTCAAAATTTTCATCGTTTACATTTAAACAATCATACAGTAAATTCTTGAAAGCCTTCCGAAGATTTTCAAAGACTTGTGGTAGTATATTCCTACATTCCTCTATAATTCTATTACGCAAATCATCAATAGATTGTTGTGGTGCCTTGTAAACAACTTCAAATTTTTCCATACAAAGAAATCCAGTGGGGTCAAGTCTGGGGAGCAAGCTGGCCATTCAATAGGACTCCTACCACCTATCCATTGACCTTAAAATGCGGTATTCAAATATTGCCTTACTTCTAAATAGTAATCAGGGGGAGCTCCTGCATTTGATTTTAGTTTTCTTTTGAGCTCTGAATGTTAAGAGGATGTATTAATTTTTCCAAAAAACTTTAGATATCTAGGTCCATTTAAAATATCGTGGTAGAAAATTGGACCAATTATTTGGTTATTAAGAATTCCAGCCCATACATTAATTTTTTCGGAGACATTGCGTTTAGCCATCTCGGAAAACGTCACTGAAGCAAATATTTCGCAAAATATTTCTATTTTTCAGAATCATAGTTTCAATAAATTGGACAGTTCTATCGAAGTCATCGTCACCCAACTCTTGATGAAGCTGTATTTTACAAAGGTGCATTTTATTTAATTTTAATATTTTATAGCACGTTGATTTTGCCACTTTCAAAGTTTCTGATAACTGAAAGTTTTGGTTCCAAATTTACGTGACCAAGAACTGCTAATTGTATTGCTTTATTTCATGCACCACGAATATTCCCATCATGTTTTTTATTATTTACCGATCCAGTTTGAAAAAAATGTATTAAGTTTCTTACATAAACAGCAGATACATTTATGTTGGGATGGTTTTCGTTACATAATGTTGCCATCAGCAAACAGTTTTTGTTTGCAATCCCATAAAAAACTACAATTTTAGGTCTTTCTTCCAAACTGTAAACCACTTTTCTTGAAGTCTATTAGCTATTTAATTTAAACAGAAATGTCACAAGCAATTAAGCATTTCAAACACGCTGCTAAGGTTTGATAGGTCCAAAGGGTTACGACATACAATTTATAGTCTGCAATACATGAAATTATAAATAATTTATTAAATTTAAACATTTTATGTCGAACACAATGAAAATATTACTTAAAAAAAAACACTTATACATTTTCTATAAATTAGCAGGCTAAGCGACTACTATTTCAAATAAAAATAGTATTCAAGATGGAAGACTATAACGCAACCCCCTTAGATTTACGAGACCTTCCTACTGGCAGCTATTGTTTGACAGGTCGTTGGAATGCCTGATATTATCAAACAACGAAGCTGCTTCCATGGCTTGCTATTATTTTTTGATACTGAATATCTGGTATCTTAACCTTTAGCTGCGAATACATAACAAAGTTAATCATGTTATTAAGTAATTTTTCATATTATAAAGATACTAAAAAAAAACTATGCATTTTCAGAATATGTCAAAAAAAAAATACAGTGAGTCATTTAAATTTTTGGACTAGGGGTGGCTGGGGCAGCGAATATAGTGTTAATTTTCACTCTACCTCCTTAATGCCATTCCAAAATTTTAAGTCTATATCTTTTAAAATACAAGACATAATTTCATTTAAAGTTTTCGCGCGGACAATACTGGCTGCTCATCAATAATATTAATTAATATCTCTTGAACATACTCCACATTCTGTGGAGGTGAAGTTTGGGAGAGTTTTTTGTTAAAGATCATCTGATTTTTTCTTTTTGTGTCTTCTTTTCTAATCAAAGTTTTTTATTTTGGGCCCCAGATAATTTTTTTTTGTTGGCTTCTCCGTACATTAAAATATAAAAGTTGTTTAATAGGTATATTTTTATAATTAACAATTTACGTAATACTTACTTGTATTTAAGTATATTTCGGTAAGGTTGTTTTAACAAAATTATTATTCTTCTGTTAAAAAAGTAATAACAACCTTTGTGAAACAAAATAAAATACAGAAATTAAATAAGTTGTTGAAAATGCCCTCTTACTTAAGCTTAAGCTCTTTTGCTCATATTAACGCGCATTCTTTGAAATATACTTCCAGTATTTATACCTCAGAAAACTCTTATATGATTTTTGAGCTGTTCCAGAGTGTTGACTGGGGTGCGGTAAACTAGATTTTTAAGATGCCCCATATATATGAAAAAATCCAAACTATTTAAATCTGGATACCTGGGAGGTCATCGTCCACCACGACTTACCCATAGGTTATAATTGTGTAATTCAAATATTATCTTGTTTTACCAGTAAAGTGAGGGAATGCGCTAGCATGCATGAACCACATTCTATTTTTAATTAAAACTGGTACTTTTTTTTTTAGCATTGTGGAGCATTATTTAGCAATATTTAGCGATATTTAGCAATATTTAGCGATATTTGGCGATATTTAGCAATATTTAGCAATATTTAGCAATATTTAGCAATATTTAGCAATATTTAGCAATATTTAGCAATATTTAGCAATATTTAGCAATATTTAGCAATATTTAGCAATATTTAGCAATATTTAGCAATATTTAGCAATATTTAGCAATATTTAACAATGTTTAGCAATATTTAGCAATATTTAGTAATATTTAGTAATATTTAGCAATATTTAGCAATATTTAGCAATATTTAGCAATATTTGGCAATATTTAGCAATATTTGACAATATTTAGCAATATTTGACAATATTTAGCAATATTTAACAATATTTAACAATATTTAGCAATATTTAACAATATTTAGCAATATTTAGCAATATTTAGCCATATTTAGCAATATTTAGCAATATTTAGGCATATTTGGCAATATTTATATTTAGCAATATTTAGCAATGTTTAGCAGTATTTAGCAATATTTAGCCAATCCTCTTCTAGAAACCTGCGATAAATATGACCAATTAGCCTTTCTGGCAGAAAAAAGGTCTAATTAAGTAATTTCCAATAATTCCAACTCAGACATTTACCGAAAATTGTTCTTCATGGTGAAATTCTGAGAGTGATTATGATAATTGTGAAAATTTCTGATACCGTTTCTAGAGATTAGCTTCACCTGTCTACATTATTTCACGGTTAAACAAGGGATTATGACATTAAAATCTGAAATATTTTCAGGTTTCACCGTCGATGTTGTTCATTCAAAAATTACACTTTTTACTAAAAATAAAAATAAATACTTACCAAGTTTGTTAGAATGTAGCTATGGAATTCTGACAATAGTTTCAGTTCTTTAGCTAATCTTAAAATGTCCATTATATGATCCACTTCGCAATCTAGGATAAAATGCAAGACACCCGAGCTTTTGACTTCTTTTAACACCGATCTAAAAATAGTCAGGAGGTCAAAACACGAAAAAAATAATATTTAGAAAATGATTATTGAAACCCTAGACAATGATAATTTGGGGTGAGATTACAGAACGTCTGCAACTTTGCAGATCTGCAAATATGGCGGCAACTTTGAAGATCTGCAAATATGGCGGCAACTTTGCAGATCTGCAAATATGGCGGACTTGCAGATGCAAATTCGCAATATTTATTACCCCTAACAACACTAAATCCAAATCCACCCTTAAGAAGGTTAGAACATCCTACAACCATGAAGTCTTCTATGTATTTTGATTGAATACAGTTCATGGTGTCAGATTATCGAGTTTTTAAACATAGTTATGGATTTGGGTTTAGTTGGTTGGGGGTAATAAACCACAATAAATATTGCGAATAAGCAGATCTTTTTTGGAATACGAAAGCTTGATACATGCATATGTCCGCCATATTTGCAGATCTGCAAAGTTGCCGCCATATTTGTAGATCTGCAAAGTTGCAGACGTTTTGTAATCTCACACTTGATTTTTTTTTGCTTGTCCAACTTTGTGATATTTTATTCTACTATTTGGGGACAATTTAATATAAATATTTATCAGTAATACTGTAAACTATGTTAATTAATTTTAAATGAAATAAATCGGATTTTAATATAGAATCGAATTTAATCGGTGTTTAAGAATAATAATACATAAAATGAAACGTATCGAATGAATGTCTATGAAAGAATGCCGTGCTTTATCACCAAATATTCTTATGCGACCCAGTCCGACGTGTCGTTCTACGAAATATGAGTAGCACTCGTGAATCATGACAGGGTGGTCCTATAGCCTTGCGATAAACGAAACATCCGAGTGCTTACAGTGTCACTCCCAAATCGTCGTCAATATCACGAAGTGACGTAATTCGATTTTCACAACTTTACAAGAGAGCGTTTTAAAGTTTTTTTTTTATAAAGTTACACCGGTTAGATACGTCCTATTTTAATGAATGTATAATGAGCATACTTTTTTACATAATATGTGACTTATCTCAATTTTAAATTTTTTCGAGTTACGTCACTTCGTGATGAGTACAAACTGGTTTTTATAAAAACAAAAAATATAATTATATCGGATAAACTATCGCAACTGTATTAGGTTAGCTTTTATTTAAAAGGGTACCCATTTATAGGAAAACCATCCAATATGAGCGATGACTGGGTTTCATTAAAAAGTGGGCTCTTATGGCAATGATATAAAGTATCTTACATTTAATAGATCTTAGATTGCAGTTGCTAGCCAAGAAAGATCATTGTACTAGAAGATATTTCAGAAGTATGACAATTTTATTATATGTTTTTTTTAACACGGATAATTTCCTGACCGTAGTATAATTTTAAATGAATGATTGTTTTATTTTGTAGGTTGTTCCTAATGAATTTAAAGACATATAAATGTGCCCTATCTACATTATGTCCCCCTAGGTTGAAATCATATGGAAAACATTTTTATTTTTAATTTTAGGAAAAAAGTTATTCTTCATAAAAAGTTCTGCATTATCTAAAACCTAGAATACAGTCATCAAATATCAAATTTTTTTAGTGGTATACCAGGTTTGTCAAAAAATATCAGTTTTACTCAAGAGTGAAGAACCTTTATTCTTTATACGACTGATAAAATTTGATATTTGATGGTTGTATTTTAGGTTTTAGACCATGCTCGACTTTTTATAAAGAACAACTTTTTTTCCTAAAATTAGTAATAAAAAAGCTTTCCTATGCCACCAACTGTCTACGTAAATTGGCGGCATATGAAAATCTTTTTTATTATTAATATTGGGAAAAAAGTTATTCCTTATAAAAAGTCGAGCATGGTCTAAAAGCTAAAATACAACCATCAGATATCAAATTTTATCAGTCGTATTAAGAATAAAGGTACTTTACTCTTGAGCAAAACTCATATTTTTTGACAAACCTCTTATACCACTGAACAAAATTTGATATTTGATGACTGTATTTTAGGTTTTAGATAATGCAGTACTTTTTATGAAGAATAACTTTTTTCCTAAAATTAATAATAATAAAAGTTTTCCATATGATTCCAACCTAGGGGGACATACTTTATAAATGCTAGAGGTACTGATAAACAGTGTCAGAATGATGTAGCAGTGAGGATTTTAGTCAAATGATGATATCGTTAAATTTAAGAAAGTGTACCGAAATTCAACAGGAACACTTTTATCGCCCTAACTAAATTCGATTTATGCTATCTGAGATTGTGAATCAATGTGAAAAGAGGTGAATGCAAGATTTATGAGATCCTTATAAGAAAATAAGAGCGTTGTTGGATTTCATTTTCTGTGAAAGTTCCGTCATCTATCCGTAAATATTTTAGAAGGAAGATGGGTCTTTGTCAGTTTAAAATAAATGTTGAATGAAAATTTATATAAACCATGGGTTCATCGAATAGAGTCCCTTGTTTCATTTAAGAAAGTATCAAAAATTAGGTCGGAAATCTATCATTTTTTTCTGGTGTAGACCTGATCGCATCAAATTGTATTTACCCAGCTAGCACATAAACATCCCATTTACGTTTATAATCTGAAATTTCGGGATCCTTAAACTCACATTTTAATGTAACCCTTACTTCCATGCAACCACCGAATGTTTGCAACTGCAAGACTTTTACAGCACTTTTCATAGAGGTCATCGATGATGAAACAGATGACACTTAAGCACCAGATGATGTTCAAACAACAAAAGCAAATCTAAACAATAAAGACAACAGTTGTTTACGGCAGCTACACTTTACTCACAATCTTCAAAGGGAAATGTCGCAGATAAGAAGGTTCCAAAATGTATTTTTTGTGATCAAATTCATTTAATTTAAAACTATTTTAAGGCACAGATAAGGTATATTGATGATACGAAAAATAAACTCGTAAAGAAAAGAGGATGTAACAAAGTCATACTTCTGGAAATTGTAAAACATTTATCAGATGCATAATGTGCACTAAAAAACATTACCCTATAGTATGTCCAAAAAGAGGGTTAAACATGTAGCAGAAAATAGTCAACATCAAGTAGACAATTCTTTAATGATCAATTACACTTTTGCAACTTAACTAAATAACTAAATAATAAAGATAAAAAACAAAGTTAAAATTTTTCGTGCGCTCTTAGATTCCAGTTTGCAGTAATCAAAATTTAGCATAGCAAAGATTAATGTCTATCAGCACAAGGTTACCAACTCTTGGAAACTTTTTTGACTACGAAAATGTCCTATTGCAGTGGCAGATGCTAGGTATCATAGAAGCAGTAGATGAAGAAAATCCATACCATGCAGTCACAAAGAAAGCAAGGTAAAAGAACCAAGATTAGGCCAGCATTTGATGCATCAACCAGGGATGGACTATGTCAGTATTTCTCAAACTTTTTTGGCGACGGAACCCTTCTGAAAAACGAAATATTTGACGGAGTCCTAATTTTACTTTGCAATCCCGGGGCATCTGTAAAAAAATATTCTCAAGCTAAATCAGAATCCTTCTCAATGAAATCTCAAAAAAAAGGTCCTCAACCCTGGTCAAACCTCTTGTAGCGGCGAACTTCCTCATACTATTTTTTTATTGAGTATTATTTTCGCGGAGCCCCAACAGAGGCTTTGTGGAGTTCCAGGGCTCCACGGAGCACACTCTGAGAAACACAGATTAGGGATTATAAGAGTCACTGTAGATATTAAAACATCATTTTTACAGATAAGTGTTTCTCCCAATGCTGAACGTTTTTAAGATTATATTGTTGGAGTAATTATGTAAAGTTATGCACCGCAGAGTAGCTTTTGGGGTGAAATGTAGTCCAATTGTATTAGCAGCTACCATGAACTAACACATATCACAATCACCACTACATTTGAAGGATACAGCAGTAAAATTAACTAATTCCTTTTATGTTGATAATCTTGGTATCCTCCTACTTGCGTACGTTCCATTTGCGTACACGGTTTTTTGTCCCACTTGCGTACAACGTGAGGTCATGCCTTGTGGCAGGTAAAAATATTATGATGCATAGTACACACATAAAATAGGGCCTATTATATTACTGAACAGTTTGAAAATGTTATAATTTTCTTTTTTAATGGCCACAAAATATTGGAAAATAAAAGTTGATTTCGTTGATGCCTATTTACGAACTAAGAACTAACAAAATTACTATTATTTTCAAGTAGTCCAAAAATGTTATTTACGTTTTAAATAAATGAAAATAATTGTATATACTCTTAATAAGTAATCGTTAATATCAGGTAATTAGGGAAATTTAACATTATTCATTATTCGATAATTGATTTTTGAATTTCTTAACACTTCGAGTAAAATCGTTAGTAAGTGTACTGCTGCCATATTATTCAGTTCAGTCGTCTTATAACCATTTTTATTTCCGAAATGGATCAACTTCAAATAGTTAATACGACCAAAGGGAAGCCATCAGCAATTTTTAAGGAGCAACAGTATCGACAACATAGAAAAAACAAACAAGAGGTTGTGACATGGTTGTGCGTCAAAGAAAAAAAGTGAAAAATGCTGGGGAACATTAAAAACAAATAAATCCCAAGTTCTGTCAGTATCTGAGCATAACTGTAAAGCAAATTTGGCACAACTAGAAGTGAAAGTTCATAAAGAAAATGCCAAAAAGCGAGCACGAGAAACTGATCAGGACATTCCAAACATTTACCGTGAAGAAATGAGGCCACTTTTTGATCGTGGAATTGACTTTGTCTGCGATATTCCAATGTTGTCTTCAGTAAAGACCACTTTATATCGACACAGACAAAAGGCAAACGGACTGTCAAAAGAGCCAAAATGTGCATCGGATGTCGAAATACCTGAAAGGCATTTTCTTCCTGGTCGCTGATGATGGTTACGAAGACAGAATTTTAATATTTTCGTCATCGATTGGGAAGGAGATTATATCAAACCAGAATACTTTCTTTATGGACGGCACTTTTAAATGTTGCAGTAAACAGTTTACTCAACTTTATACAATACATGCGGACATTGGAAGCAATACAGACGAGCGAAACATAATTCCTGTAGTTTATGTACTACTCAAGAACAAAACTCGCTCTACATATAAGAGATTATTTACGATAATAAAAAGATCCACAAACTGGAAACCAACATTAGTGACTGTAGACTTCGAGGAAGCAGTGATTATAGCTATAAGGAATGTGTTTCCTAACGTTGCAATAAATGTCATTTCCACTACAATCAATGTATATGGCGAAAAGTACAACAGTTGGGCCTAGTTGTAGAATACCGGCACGATGATGAACTGCGACTACATATTCGTATGTGTGCTGCTTTGGCGTATATTCCACTTGAAGATTTGGATATCTGTTGGCCAACCATTCAAGGAAATTCATCCGTTAACGAAAAACTTCAAAAGTTCTACGATTATTTCGTGGATCAGTGGCTAGAAAATAGTATCATTACGCCAGATATGTGGAACTGCAGCGACAAGCTCTTTCGTACAAATAACGTCGTGGAGGGATGAAACAACAAGTTACATCATCTGGTCAAAAGAAATCATCCGCCTGTCTTACAGTTGATGAAACACTTAAAATAAGAAGCAGAAAATAGTGATTTTCTTTATAAATGAAAAGAATTGAATTTGGAGGAAAAAAGATGAAAAACAAAATACGTCAAGTTGGACATTAGAATTAATAAAATAATAGCGGTATATACAGAAACAAAAGACGTTAAAAAATGCCTAACCTCTCTAGCTTACGTCGCTAAGTTAGAGTAACCGACTGTATGGCTCTGCATTTTGTAAATATTCTGTAAATACCATTCTTTTTGTAAATTCTTAAAAAACAAAAAAACTCAAAAATATAAAAACTAAAAAAACTTTTAAACACGCCAGCAAATCGGTGCCAGTCCTAAGCCTGGAAAAAGTGTGAAGGAAAGTTTTAAAAATAAAATTAAGTGTAAGTATATGTACGCAAGTAGGACTATATATCGTAATACTTTTACCTGACTCAAGAGATGATCTAACCCATGTACGCAAATGTGACAAAATTGACCGTGTATGCAAATGGGACGTACGCAAATAGCACTATATCGATAATCTTATTACTATTGTTAACAATAAAGAAGAATTGGAAAAATTAAAGAATTTAAAGATTACGAACATTAGTTTATTTTAATCTGATGAAATGGTATTATCCAACAGATAATGGTTGTTGATGCTTGATTAGGGATTTTCAAATTATACAAAACTTTTCATAAAAAACAAAAACTTTTGAATCTGACAAAATTTGGGACACTTACAAAAATAGGGTCACTTGACCATAAGTATAGTATTTTTACAATAAGGCGGTAGTGACGTCACAAGATAAAAAATCTGCGACGTTTTCAGGTATATTTTTTAATGTGAAAGTGTAATTTAATTTTTCCTAGCTGGAACATAAGTGCATCTAATATGCTATCAACTTTAAACTACTATTAATTAAGTTATATCTTGATTTAAGGTTGAAATGGATGTAAAAAAGAACTGCTGGCCTATAAAACAATAAAAACTCGACTATTAAGCATTTTCAATAGTAAAAAAAGTCTCAAAAATTCCGTTACGAATTATTAAGAGGATCCCCGAACCTCAAAGGTGAAAATAAATACGTGGAGATTTAAAAAATGCCTATTTCCACCGGGATTCGAACCAAGACATCTTTGTTCTGTGCATAAATGTCCTTACCATCCACGGCAGAAATTTGATGTGCTAGTTCGGGACAGACGCAGTTTCATCCTCGTTCTCAAATCTTCAAGAGTTTTCCGTTTATTAATGATGTGGATTAACTTTTTTATATTTAAAACCAATGTTCTTTTAGCATTTTTCATAGTGACGATATAGAACCACTGAAAAGTTCACGCTCCTAAAGGTTTTGCTTTAATGTTTGTAAGGTTATGTGTTCCTCTAAAAAATACTTACGTTAAATGATGTGAATATAGTATGTTTAATACACACTGCTTCTGTATATTTCATAAATAACGTTTCGGAAAGCATTTTGAGCAAAGACAACAATTACAAAAATAGGGTTTTATTATACAAACACTGCGCATGATTCTACTTCGAAACTATTCTAGTTATTATTTTAAACATAATATTAATAATCCAAATAGAAGTTGAATATCTTTCTTTGCTTTAGTGAAATAATGACAAAAACAATCATATTTGCTTTTAGTTTTTTTCGTGTTATTCCGTTAATAATAGAACTAACTAGAAATGACGTCGATGTCTTCTTATCGTAAAAATAGTTTATATTATTTACTGTATGATTGATCTAAAATTAACCTTTTTTGCCTTAAAAACTACCTGTCTTTTTAAAATTAGTCTAAACATCCTACGTATCAAAATTAACACGAACCTGTGATTCTCCGGAAGACCCAACGTTTTAAAAGCCACCACAGGATCGTTAGGATTCAGCTGTTTCAAAGTCTCCTCGAGTCTTAAAAGTCCATTATCATTTTCATAAAGAATGGTATAACTCTTCCAGTCATTCTCTCTTACCAGCGTAGCCAGAGCCTTTGAGAGGCTTTTAGGGCTGGGATGCAAGTTGAAAATTTGGATGGGCTTCTCTGATGGCGACTGCCGGCTGGCGAGAAACGCTAATTTTGGATTCCAGAACGTCTGAAATTGCGGTATCTCCAGACTGGAAGACACTGATTGAATAATGCTATTAATTTCTGGAGAATCGGGACCAAAAATGGCGGCTATGCCTTTTTCCAGGAGGCTGCATGCTGGAATGCGAGATTATAATTAGAAAGGTTTTGTAATGAGCAGTATAATTTAGTTGGTAAAATCTTATTAATAGAAACATGAGTATGCCTTTCATGGATAAATATTTATTTAGATATCTGATATATGATTGTGATTATAAAGGCCAAACTAAGGAAACAAATATATCAAAATTCATTTCCTAAAACCGATTATATACATTACATTGCATACACGCACAGTTTTGTTAGGAAAATATCTATATACATGGTGTTCTCAAATTGAATATCAATATTTAAGCGGGTGATTTTGGGTCTATTTTAGAAAGAAAACTTTATATGATCGTAGGTTCTAAACGTCTTAACTTTTGAGATACTGAGCGGTAAAGTTTTGAAAAATTAATAAATTTTTAATATTATCTCTAATACCACTCTAGATATTTTGATGAAATTTGGTACAGGTACTATGCATCAAGAGGCATTTTTTAAAGTGCTTTATTTCTTTTTATTTCCATCAGTGGCGTTCATGTGGACTCTAACCTGCATATTTTGACATACATTGATAGTACACCATCGATTTATCTACAATTAAAAATTATTTTTGAATTTTCCATTCATTTCTAAACAAATTTGATTAAGTTATTTTTTCTAGTCCAATGCATTCTTTAAAAAAAAAAAAAAACAAAAATTGTTTCTCTTCATGGTTATAATAATATTTTAATATCACAGTGCAGATAAACATGTTAGGCGAAATCTATGCGTCGGACTAAAAAAATTCAAAATATTAAATCGGCTCATAAATAAATAAGGATTTCAAAAATTCACTTTGGAGTTAGCGTGTAACTTCAATTTTGAAAGTTTTCAAGTAAAAAATTTAAAAAACTATTACATCTTTAAAAATAAATTATTGGTTATTATTGTAGTAGGTTGCGGCTGTAAAAATTATTATTTATATTGTTACGCAGGTTTTTGGTATCACAATTTATTTTAACTCAACTTTAACAATAACACCGGCACACAAAAAAAAAGTTGTTTGTACATCAGACACGACCTACCTACCGGCATGTATTTTGACCCGCTGAATCCGAATTTCAAGTCAGTTTGGGCCGTCCACCCTTCAATATCCACCCTTACAATATCTCAAAAAACTGATGTATGAACTGAATGAGGCGAAAGATTTTCTCAGATTTTGAACTGTTTTTTGTTGATATCAAACTTTTTTGTTCTCAAATGACCTCCGCAGTATTCAGCGGATCGAAATACATAAGAATTATGCTTGGTTTCGATTAATAAATTTTTTTTATTACTAATTATCTTATTTTTACTATTTTTACAATTTACTCGATATTGAAGGGTGGACGGCCAAAACTGACTTGAAATTCGGATTCAGCGGGTCAAAATACATGCCGGTAGGTAGGTCGTGTCTGATGTACAAACAACTTTTTTTTTGTGTGCCGGTGTAATTATACAACTGATAACTTTAAACGGATAACGTCTATCATAAAACTGAAAACTGACGTCGGGATCATCCTTATATAGCTCAATACCGACGAGATAGAGGAGCAGGGGGACAAAATCCTTAGATCCCAGGCCCAGGGGGGAGCAGCAGCCGCCAGCTTTAGACAGTACTCACCGTAGAACATGAAAAGTTTGAGGTAAAAAAAAATTGATTAGAATATGTGCCAGTTATTTATCCCGGGGCTCACCATTGCTGTCGGCCGACCTGGTAGGAATATTGCCTAGATAAGAAGATTTAATAACATTAAATCAGTATTTTGTACATTAGTATTTTTCTTGTTAACATATGTAGAAACACTCTTAAATTAGTCTCCATTTGTATAAGTTTCTATAATAAGAATAAATAATTTTTTAAAGACGCTTTCCTTTTCCTATTCCTAAGTCGTTTGTTAACACTGATAAAATGATTTCTGTATTTGGTTGCGTGAAGAATAAAACGTAAATTAAATCATGTATGTTTCATTTATTTATATTATATTAATTTTAACCTACAATCACTTTTTTCAATTATACCAATTATACCCATTTAATAACAATTGAGGCGTGTTTTGCAAAAACCCATGTCAGTTTATGGAAATTTTATATTATGATACTTATGGGTATATAACATAATTATCTATGTCCCTTGCGTGAAAAAAATTCGCAAAATCGCCGGTAGTCCAAGATATGAATGGTTAAAATATCGACCATTCTTCATAAACCCTATATGTCAACAGCAGTTTTCATAAAAACCACAGAAATTGAATTTAGTGGCAACTAAAGTTTATGTAAAGAACGCTTCAATTCTTAATAATTGTATTACATATTGTGAAAACGTTGATTCATAACTACTTGTATCACTCTATTTCCCAGTTATAGACTTTTTCTTGCAGAAGTTGAACAAAATAACACCAATATTTGGCACAGTTCTGTAACTCTGTATCTGTAACATGTGGAGGGTGGGTTACCCCCCCCCCACGACACTTAGGCCTCACTAGGCCCATTGAGCATCCTCCTAAGATGGTAGGTACCTCCTAGCTCGTGAGCCAGCTTACAGATTTGATGTAGTTGACAACGTCGCCAAAAGGTGCTTCTCTTATATCGGCCGGTATTAGCCGATACTTGCCGAACGCAAATCTTCTAATAAATGAGAGCGTCGAGCAATCGTAAAGGATATGCTCGATGGTCATATCTTATTATACGCGCCCTTTGCAGAGTGCGGATTCTGACAGCCCCATGATAAGGAGATGCTTCCGTACTTGGCAATGACCAGTCAGAATACCTGTAACTAGGCACAGATTCTGTCTAGTCACGTATTAGTTTGCTGCAGTGTCGTCAGAATAACTTAAGAGCTCCCTGGCAACTCTGCAATTTCTTCTTTCATCCCATCTTTCCTGGAATTTCACAAGAAAATGTTCTTTAATAAGGTCTGTCCCTACCCGTTTTGTCAGGCCTATAAAAGGGCCAGGTCCAAAAAGTATTTGGTTGGCTGCTTTCTTGGCTAGTGAATCAGCAAAACGGTTACCTTTCGATGTTAGCACAGTTATTATTGTTTCGCCTGCATCAGGATAGTAAATCTTTTGCATGCTAAACTCGTTTATAATACCATAGAAAACTGTATCCATGTGTTCACAAGCCGCTTTCTTTGGATTAAAAGATCGAATATAGAAAAGCAAACATTTCGGTAATAACACAGTTTATTTTACATAACACAAAACACTACATTGTTGGTTAGATATTTACACTACATACATTATATATTTCTTATTCAAAATGTTTATTTGATCGCCATTGCAGCGTGGGTTGAAAACCCAATTGTCGATGTGATTGTTATGAAGGTCGAGAGAAGTCTGGTGGTGTTCCGTGGTTCGAAAAACCGATACGGCTCGCTCATGCATATTACCAACTGTTTTTCTTTGCTCAATCATTTTTATCGATTTTAAATTCGTACCTTTGTATTGGATAACAACCGCGTTAGTTATTTTTATTTTACTGTTTTTGCAAACCTTGCTCTGAATTGATACATAAGTAACTTTTACAGGGGCGGTCTTGAGTCATTTCCCCGATTCTGATATTTATGTTAAAGGTATTTTTAACACTTTTTTGTGTGTCATCGGCTTCAACTACCAGAGTTATTTCACCTCGTGTTCTGTATAGGCTTTGTTACTGTTTCCCAGTGCCATTTTAGGAACAGCACTGTTAATTTGAACCCAACAGTGAATGGTCGAGTATTACAACGACTACAAAACCAAAGTCATAAGAAGCAACTTATGTTAATTCATTAAACTAGTACAGTTTTGGGTATAATTATTTAGAAAGAAAAGGGAAGAAAAATGTGTTTTGTAATGATCCTTAGGAGCTACTAATTATTATTAATAAAATTTGAGACTTCAATATATTTTCAAATATTAAACACATAATAAACCTAATTTTCTTTTAACGTCAATCCGTTTAGTTTCAAACCATATTATTATTTCAAGATCGTTTTCTTAATAAAGTATATACCCCATAAAATCATTAACTTTGCATTTCAAATACTAATTTCCAATTTCACTGTCTGGAAGTGCCATGTTTCCACACTGGAAGACACTGATTGCAGCGCGCCATTAACATCGGGTAATTCTGGATCGAAAGTGACAGCTACGTCGTTCTATGAAAGGTAGTAGAATCAGCGCAGCCAGCGGCGCGAATAATTTTGTTAAAAATATTTGTAAAAGATTTAATAAAATTTTATTAAAATAATATATTTATAACAAGCCTCAATATGCCTATGTCCCATACTCCAATGTAACCAAAAACGTAAAATATCAAAACAAAAATAAAATATTAAAGTCACTAAACGAAGTGATCATTTACTATTCAGAAAACAACTTAAAATAAAGGAAATTATTTCAAACTCAATAATACGAACATCTGACAACAATTACTCCTTTAGCTAATACCTCACCAGGCATTGAATTGCATCAAAAGATAAAAGCAGAGATAGAAAATATTTTCAACACTCTACTTTGATTTTGCTTAAGAGAGAAACGTATTATTGTGATACATGGCTTTGAGTTTTATTTATTTTTTTTTAACTCATTTTTTAGTTATAGTACAACAGGCATTGTATTATAACAACAACAAAAATTATCAGAGATAAAAATTTATTTTCATAACTATAGCTTCATTTCATTTCATGCTTACTAAGGAGAATTTAACATTTTGACCGGTTTCGTTTTTATTAGGACTCATCACCAAGAAATAGACCTTGCTACCTATCTGTAGGTTTATAAAAATTACTTGTGTACCTTGATGATGGTTGAATTAAATAAGGAAGTAACGCTTCTACAATAGGTAAGCAAAATTAAAGCACGTTTGTAAGTAGATAGTTCAAAAACTAGGTGGAATAATAACATTCTCCATATTATGGAAAACGAAAGCTAGATATAAAAAAGAGAAGAGATAAAAAGATGAAGAGAACAGGAAAAATGGAAAAAGAGAAATGAGACGGTAAAAGAAGGAAGAGATAAGGAGCAATGAAAAGA